TGTCCCGTGCAGACCCGGCTTCCAGGAGCATACATTTCCAAGAACATGCATTTGAAACAGTTCTAAGCTGTTAGGTTTGCAGTAATTTTATGGAGTTTTTTTCTCATCGTGAATCCAGCAAGATGGCATATCCATGCTGGGTCACCGTTTGTCTTACTTTGTTCATTCATTAAATGTATTGCCATTTATAGGTAGGAAGTGGAAATGTTTATCTCTGCAGTCTAGAGCTATAATCCCGTGTAATCATCAAATCTAGAGGCACCCTGAGCCTTGGTGGGGAGAAAGCTGGAGGGGTTTTGTTTGGCTGAATCTTCACGGTACTTCTGGGGTACAGTTAGGTACTCTGCTAGTACTATCAAGTGCATTGTTACTAAATCTTCATCATAACCCTGTTAGATCATTACCAGATAATTTTAACACCTAAACCCTTTCAACCCAGCTCTGTTTGGACCAGGGCAATAGTGAACCACCGAGCCCCAGGCCCTGCCCCACTTCCATCAGCCTGGGCCTCCACATTCGTTATTAACTTTCTGGGTGATTCTGTTGCACACCAGAGTTTGTCCAGGTCATTCCCGATTCCTGGACAAAATCAGATCCTTTCTAAATACCTGTGCCAGCCACTTTCCACTCTCACCATTGCTTAGCCTTGCTACATCCCTACAACCAGAGACCCTTTATGGGCAACTCCTGAGCTTTGGGGCATGGCGGTTGGGGGGAGACTTTTCTGTTCAAACTGGGTTGCATTTCAGCTTTCTCTGACCCCAGCTTAGAATTCCGTTTTCTCAAGTTGGATCCATTACCACATACTCGTCTGCTTACTGGTTTCCAGAATTTTGTTGCTGTTGTCTTCAACATTTTGTTGCTGTTCTCTTTGCCTGTGGGATTGTCTTCTCTTTCATTTGAGTGTGGTTTCAAATGAAGGGGGAAAAAGGAAGGAAATCTGTCATCTTTAATCAGAAAACTATCACGTAGGGACGCCTGGGTGGCTCAGTTGATTAAGCATCTGCCTTCAGCTCAGGTCATGATCCCAGGGTCCTGGGATCGATTCCTGCATCAGGCTCCTTGCTCAGAGGGGAGCCTGCTTCTCCCTCTCCCTCTGCCTACTGCTCCCCTGCTTGTATACTCTCTCTGAAAAATAAGTAAATAAACTTAAAAAAATAAAAAACCAACTATCACTTAATTCTTTTTTTTTTTAAGATTTTATTTATTTATTTATTTGACAGAGATCACAAGTAGGCAGAGAGGCAGGCAGAGAGAGAGGAGGAAGCAGCCTCTCTGTTGAGCAGAGAGCCCGATGCGGGGCTCAATCCCAGGACCCTGAGATCATGACCTGAGCCGAAGGCAGAGGCTTTAACCCACTGAGCCACCCAGGTGCCCCTATCACTTAATTCTGAAATCAAACCCCATCTTTCATATGAGAACACCGAAGCTCAAGGAGGATGACTAATGGGCCTAAATTGCTAAAAACCAGAATTTGTGTCCAGGCAGCTGGATTCTTAACCATTCTGCTCTACCACCTCACTGCAAAACCAGAAGCTAAAGATTTTTCTTCAGTGAGAGAGAATCTCATAGGCTACAAGTGTCGAAAACTGCTCAAACAGAAGGGCTCTAACTTGGAAATTGGCAAATTATATTAGATTCCATTAATTTAATGGCATTGTTGTATAACACATGCATTAGAAATTGATCATGAATAATAGATTATACCAGCTGAACCAAAGGCTTTCCAGGAGAACTTTTTGCACATTTCATTTTAGAACAACTAAAATGACATCATTTCCAGAACAGTTTGATTTGTTCTGTGCATCTGAAAAAATAAAAATACAGCAAAGGGACTCTTTAGAGTGTGGACATTTTCAGACAATAGTCCGAAGACTGAAGATAGGCACATGGTAATCAAAATTGCAATTTGTATGTTGTCACTTTCTGTTCCTTGAGTTCCACGCCACCTCAAATCATGACAGACTATTTTCTGATGCAAGAGGAAAAGGGTCTGTTTAAATTCAGAACCCTGTGCAGACACCTTCCAGGGGTTCTGAAATCAGATTGTGCTTCTGCCTTGAGCTCAACAGTGTACATTTGCGCCTCTTTGCAGTGCCTTTAGGTCCATTCTGACCAGTTTAATCTTGGGCTTTCGGTGGTCATGTAACACACACCATCTTTTGCGTAAGATTTCCTTGGTACAAGGAATGGTATCGGTATTTTATAGATCACAGAAACCAAATGTCATCTCATTCTTTGGCACATTTGAGATTTAAAAAAAAAAAAAAAAGAAGAAGAAGGTTATTCCTCAAGGCTGTGATTCTCTTCTAAACTGCCTCTCTCAGATTCTGAAAATAAAGAAGATTTGGCTGCGGCTGGGCTCGCATCACAAGAACACAGATTTTGACACAGCGCATGTTCGCTCTTGTAAAACTCCACGCTCCATCCCTGCGCACGTGATCCAGCCCAGGTCTCGGATATATGTTAGACACAAAAAGGTATTAATTACTTCAGGGTCTCTATTTATTTCCTCATCTGTCGATGGAGAAAACATTTTTTTTTACCTTGGGACACATGTTTGCTGCCAACATTAAATGGGAAAAATGTCAGGAATACGAACTACACAGTATGGTGCAGTATTGATCGCCCAACATGTTAACTCAATTAAAATGCATCTAAGGATGGAGGAAGGGAAAATCCTCGTGACGCATGAAGCTGGAAATCAGGAGACAGAGGAGTCTCAGCCTTGCCTGTAATGAGTTGAAAAGCCTTGGGCAGGTCACTTTCCTTTCGGTTACTCATATGAGGGCTTATGTCATCTCCAAAATTTCTCCGATTGCAAGAACTGGAGCCATGCTGGGAAAACAGAGGAAAAATGGAAGAAGGAAACTTCCGAAGTCTGGAAACAGTGGGTCGGGATCGTTTTCTTCCCTTGACAGGAGCTCCTCTGACGTGCTTTCTGATGGTCTGGGCCTTGGCAACTGTGGAGTAACCCACACCCTGACTGGGCACCGAGGAGGTAATGACCTACAAGCTGAGCCTGGGTCAGGTGGTCCGAGAGAAAGAACCAGGAACTTAACTCAGTCTCCAGTAATTGCTGTTTATGTTCCAGAGACAGGTTTTTTCCATAAAGCTTTTAAATTAAGCAAAGGGGGAGGCCCCGAGGCTTCTCTCTGGATTATTCTCATTTGCATGTCTCCTCCTGTGCCTCAGCTCTCTGGCTGGTCTCCAAGAGGGTTCTTCTGCACTGGGTATGAATTAAATGTTACAGTTTGGGGTTGGGAAAGACCTCCCTCTTGAGAATCTCTAAAATCATCCCTCAGGATTCTATTCTTGTCTTTACTTCATAATTTAAACCTGGAGACCTGCCAATCCCCAACATTGTAATAGGGATTCACCACATTTATCTTTGTTTTATGTATCGGGATTCATTTGCTTTCCCACGGCCCCTTCCTCAACTCGCCTGCATCTCCTCATTTCTCAGACCTTCTTTTCCCCTCTTTCTCATCTGGAGAGATATTTGAACTTGAAGGGGAAGAGGGAATTTTGCAAACCTCCTATATTACATGTAAGATTTACATATGGAGCGCCTGGCTAGCTCAGACTGTGGAGCACGGTGCTCTTGAACTCGGAGTCATGAGTTTAAGCCCCATGTTGGGTGTGGAGCCTACTTAAAATACAAATATATATATATATATATATATATATATTTAAGAAAAAGATTTCCATATGAACACTTACCTCTTGGAAGGAGGTGGAGTTTACCTGGGAGACTACTTTATGCATTTTCATATACTAAATTTGAAATAGCGTCTAATTTTTATTATCAGTTAACATTCAGGATTTGGGGTTTTTTTACATTATAATTATGTGACTTTTCAATGACTGTGAAGTGTTAAAGGATATCTTCTGTCTTTTTAAATTCATGTATGTTTGTTCACGTGAATCCTGCCTGCTGTAATTAATGATTTTTTTCCCTCCAGAACCGCCAAGGAAAAGGAAATTTCAAATGGGAAAACTCTTTGTTTGATCTCATAAGTTTTATACATATAAATTTACTTCCCAAATTTTTTAAATGAACTCTTAAGCATGTACGTCACCTTTTCTTTCCTAATAAATGTAGTTTGTTGTTGTTGTTGTTTTAGCATTTTTGGCTTTTCTACAGACCTTGGGACTTTTTCTGCCCCACGCCTCAGGGTCTGGGAGCATAAGCGTACAACGCACAGACGTGCGGGCTGACTTTCTGGGGATCCCTGCACGTGGCCCAAGCAGTGCTAATTAGTACTCAGGAATGTGGCACACAGTGTGGCTGACCCAAGGGGTGTAGTTATTTGGCTGCCCCCAAATTAATGTTTTACTGTATTTCAGAATTGAGTTTAAATTAATTTCTGGTTTCAGGGCGCCTGGGTGGCTCAGTGGGTTAAGCCTCTGCCTTCGGCTCAGGTCATGATCCCAGGGTCCTGGGATCGCACCCGGCATCGGGCTCTCTGCTCAGCAGGGAGGCTGCTTCCTCCTCTCTCTCTGCCTGCCTCTCTGCCTACTTGTGATCTCTGTCTGTCAAATAAATAAGTAAAATCTTAAAAAATAATAATAATAATTGTTTTTTATAAATAAATAAATAAATTTCTGGTTTCATAGTTCTTGTAGCTCACACTCTAGGAAAAAGCACTAGCCACAAGCCAAGAGACCTGGGCTGTCTTTGTGGCTTTGTGACCTCCTGGGTGACCTTGACCAACAAGTTTCCTCCAGAAATGAAGCAGCCTCTGGGGCCATTTCCACTTTGAAACCTGCTATTTCTACGCTGTGCGGGCTGCTCGCTGAGGAGGAACTTGCCGGCATAAAGCTGTGTGGTTCCAGGTTATCTGAGGGGCTGTGCTTTGATCCCAGGAAGCTTTTTTCCTCACGTGATACCTGTGTTGCAGCTCTGCTCCTGGAGCCTGGAGATAACTGCTGGGAGGGGATCTCATCAGTGATCGCTGGTCCGCCTCCCCCGTCAGCTCCGTGTTTCTGCATTTCAGATGCCCGGGACAGATGAGTCCCAAGATTCGGGCGGCCCCGAGGAATCCAAGGGAAACCTGGAAAGTCCCAAGCAGGGCAGCAGTAAAATGAAGCTCAAAAGTCGACTTTCAGGTGAGTGGAGCCCCGTGCCTGATGCGGCCTGCCGGGAAGTGAGCTTCTAGCCTCAGGAGTGCGAAGATGAGAGTCATTAACAGAATGAGCGCCTCCCCCTCCCCTTACAGCCTCAAAATTATTTTCCCTTTAGGTAGTGCATGCCCCAAGCCTAAAACTGCCCTCAGCCCGGCTGCCTAAGTGATTATTTTTATTTGAGTCATAATGAAGTGAATGTCAACATCTCCATTTGTTTCTGCTCAAACCTAAATTTCCTGTGTGTGTGGTTCATTGACTTGCACAGAACTTCAAGTGACCCATGCCCTATGGAACATTCCTAGTGGCCTGTCTTCCCAGCAAATGGCCCTCTCCCCCAAGCCCTTGGTCAACCAGAACCAGGGGCAAAGAGTTATTGACTTAATACGAAATCTGCATCTCAACGAAGCAGGCGGAAAAATAGGATGGGAGCTACAGCTCTGGAAACAGAGATTTCACATGTATAGCCTCATAGCAGCTGGCCGGTGCTCTGAGATAGAAAGTTCTTGTTGAAAGCAGAGACCCCATGGGGTGCCTGGGTGGCTCAGTTGGTTAAATGATTGCTTTCGGCTCAGGTCATGATCCTGGAGTTCTAGGATGGAGTCCTGCATTTGGGCTCCCTGCTCAGTGGGGAGTCTGCTTTTCCCTCTGACCTTCCCCCTCTCGTGCTCTCTCTCATTCTTTCCCTCTCAAATAAATAAATAAAATCTTAAAAAAAAAAAAAAAAAAAAAAAGAGAAAGCAAGCAGAGGCCACGTACAAGAACCTATTATGATCCGAGGGTCCTAGGCACCCGCTCCCTGATGGGCTCTTTCCCCTATTAAACAACAAACAAACCAAAAAACCCTGAAAGTTACATTTTGTGTCTGCATTGGTATAAAGGTACAAGCTGGATTCTTTATTATCTCTTCATTACCATGATGTTTACACTTAAAACTTTCTTATGGGCCCTCTGCACTGTGTCTGCCGGCCTGACGGAGAGGCCCGCCCTGGCTGCCTACCCATGAAAGGCGTCTCTTGAGACCTTGGGCCACTGACTTCAAGCCCCTGAACTTCCTCTTCCTCACCTGAGAAAAGGAGATAATAATCCTGACTTTGAAAGGGTGAGCAGATTAAAAAACAAACAAAACACATACAGGAGTGGCCAGCCAAAGCACAAGGTGTGTCAACATCCAAAACATGCCAGTCTTCTCTTGGACACAAACCCGTGTGGAGGGGTGCTGTCTGTGCCGCCACCCAGGACCCCTGCCACCCCCGCCCCTGTCACCACTGCCTGGCCCTCTGCTGAGCTGTTCTCAGGTAAAGCGACTGGTATAGGACCCTCAAACAGATCTGTTCTTTTAACAAACCAGTGTAACAAAGTGAATTAGTCTGATCGTAACTCAAAATAGTTAGGCAGTGTCTATCAGAACGCAGGGTGGTGACCAGTGAAATGGCCAGAGGCTAAGTTGGAGGGGAGACATCGTGAGGTCCTCACACAGAGAGACCGCCCAGCTCCCCCGAAGCCCTGAGAACAGCAGAGAGAAATGCATTTCATTCCTGTGTGTGTTTGGGGCCTGGACATCACAGGGACGTAGCAGATGAAGAGCTTTAGGCCAGCTGTCTTGGCACAGTTAATCAACACCTTTATCAACAGTCCCCAGGAGGGTCACAGAGCTCTGGGGAAGTATTGGGGACCTTTGAAACCCATACTGTCACATTCCTCATTTTATGGATGAGACCAGAGGAGTTAAGGGAATCCCAAAGGTCACTCACTCAGTGCCAGCAAAAAGATCTGCCTCCCAGATAGTTCTTCTTAGCCACCCTGGCTTCCTGAGAATCTTGATGGGAATCCTACCCCCAGGCCGGGGCTATATGGATACAGACATGGGGATGGGGAGATAGCTGGGGACCTTTCAAATCATAATTCTCTAATGCTGTTTATGCTATTAATTTAGAACAAGCAGCACATTCAGCTGAGTAAAATCCACAGCTGGTTGTTGTTTGCCACAAATGGAGGTCACCCTCTCTTCCTGTCCTTCCCAGACACCTGGGGCCATAATAAGCAAATTCGTATAACAGGCATGAAGCCGGGGAGAACTGTGTTCACTTCTCAGCCCTGCTGTGACTTGACCTGAGACCAGTGACTTGACTTCTCTGGGTTCTCTGTTTCTTTGGGTGTAGAATGAGGATTATACTGTACATTTGTTCTCTAAATCAGTGCCCCATCTTGGTTGAAAGATGGAGTTGAGAGAGGGAATGTGGCGCTGCCCCTGCAGGTATGGCAGCGATGGCCCACCCCACCCCTGCCGACTTTAACATCACATTTGTCACTGTTGTTTCCAACTTTATTATCATTGTTGTCTCCTCTTTCCCTGTCAGGAGGGGAAGGTGCTTGAATAGTTTCAGACAGGAGTATTCTTGAGAACTTCAGGTGGTGATAAGGCATGCGACAGGAGGTACGAAGATGGAAGTCTGTCTGGGTCGTGGTGCTCAGGGGGGGCATCCAGAGGACACAGGATGAAGGAGGGCCTGGACCTTGGCAAGATTTGACAGAACCCAAGAGGAAGCCAACAGTGGTCTGGACAAAGGAGAAAATGCACCAGAAATGTTTAGGGACAATGAGGGAAAATTGGTTAGAGAAGTTTTTAGCAACTGTTTTTCCTCCTCAGCTTTCCAAAAGATCCAGTAATCCAACAGGAACCACGATTGAATCCAGCAGAGCTTGTCAGGGAGATTAGGGGTAAGGAGCCCCTTGGGGAGGGAGCTGATGGTGCCGGCAAAGTGAGGTAAAATGTCAGGCGATATTTATAGGCTCCCGGGTTTTGGAAAGGATGCGGGAGGAGGACAGATCCTCTCCTTTGAGAATCAGCAGGCCAGAGCCACGAATTCATGGGGCAGGGCCGTGGGAGATACTGCTGGAAAAGTAATTTGAGATCTAGGAAGGTGGCTTACGGAGCTGGGTCTTCATTCATTGCCGTGAAATATGTTCAGCCTGGAGACATTTGAATACAGATTTTAATGTGATCACCTGCTAATTTGTCTGTCCTTTAAACTTGGATTTTTATTTCCTAGTTTCTAAAAGCGAGTCACTCTGGTATTCCTGTGTTGGTATCTACAGATACTACCATATGTGGTTTCTCTTCTGCTGAGGCAAGTGCCCCCCTGTCAACTCAAAAGGCACTTTCTTCCAATAAATCTTTTTCAGATGAGTAAGCATGCCAAGATGGAGAATCTGGCCATGAATTACTAAGTCCTGAATTATTAAGGAGGTTCTGTAAAAAGTTCCAGTCATCTCCACTAAGATTTTTGCCTAGTCTGGCTCCAGAATGACTAAAGTGATTTTATAGAACATTTTTCCTGATATCCTAACCTGAATTTTCCTTACTTCATACTGCCTTTTTTGCCAGCAGGGTTCCCTTTTAATCTTGGTATTTTTGATTTATCCGTGTTAATACCCTACGTTAGTGATCTTTTTAAATGGAAATTTCTCTTTGATTGCAAAGGAGTCTCAGGTGTTTGAAAACCTGTATCACAAAGTTAATATGTAGCTTTTGAAACACCAGGCTTTTAGTGATGTTCATGTTAATATAACTGTATCCGCACTCTTCCAACTTTTCATCACCATTAAAGACTCAATATATTATTTTTAAAAGAGTACAGAATCATCCTGTTTTATTTCATGAAAAACTTTCTGAAAATTGTTTAAGTAAATTGAATTTTAGTTCATCAAATAAAACATAGTCTAGAGAATTTGATATTACAAAGAATCTGTATATGTCTATAGCTATACACACACACGTGTGATACATTCATAATGTATCATGTAAACATTATGATGTGATTATAGCTATATTCAGTGTAATTGAGCCATCTTTTAAAATTAATTCCCTTATCTTATTTTAAAATAGCATATAATATAAACTAAGTATTGATAAAGATGTCTTTAAAAATTACTACAAAAATTTCTTAAGACACAAAGTTCTAAGCATAAAGGGAAAAATCGATACGTTATATGTAAATTATGAATTTTTGTTCATGTAAAAATACCATTAAGAGTGAAAAAGGCAAGTCACAGACATGGAGAAGATATCTTCAATACATAGATCCCATAAAGGACTCAAATCTAAAACATTAACAATAGAAAAATAAAAATTCCTATAAATCAACAACAAAAAGACAGAAACCCATTAAAAGAATAAGCAAAACAGGCACTTTACAACTTTATCAGGGAAAAAAAAAGCCACTGTACAAATTTACAAAAGTTAAAACAGCCAACAAATATTTGAAAGAAGCTCAGTCACATTGGTCATCAGTGGAATGTAAATTAAAAACCACAAGAGGGCCCCTGGCTGGCTTGGCTGGTGGTGTGTGGGACTCTTGATCTTGGGCTTATGAGTTTAAGCCCCACGTTTGGTGTAGAGATTACTTGAAAATAAAATCTAAAAAAAAAAAAAGTGAAATATCATTATGTACCTATGAGATTGGCTGAAATTTAAAAAACTGGCACCACCAAGTATGACGATGATGTGGGGGAACTAGGACTCCCATACGGTGGTGTTCCAGCATTGGGAAAGGTGGCTGTGTACTCAAGGCTCAGCAGCTCTGCCTAGGTCTGCACCCCACACATGGGATTCCTATGAGAATGTTCCATAACAGTCTGTTCTAGATCAAGCGTCGGCAAACTACCACCGACAGCTGTATTTGTATGGACCACAAGCTAGAAGTATTTTCTGTATCTTCAGTGGATAAAAAAAAAAGGAGGGGGGGAGGGAGAGAGAGAATATGCAGCAGAGACCATCTGTGGCCTAAAACATTTACTATCTGGCCTTTACCAAAAAAAAAAAAAAAAAAAAGTTGTTGACCCTTGTTCTAGAACTGAAACTGGAAACAAAGCAAGTGTTCATCAGCAACAGAATGGATAGCCAAACTGTGATAACTGTGGTATGTTTATACAATGGAGTAATATACAGAAATGGGATGAACAGACTATTAGCACCAACATGGGGACTTTCGCAAATAGATGCTAAGAGTGAAGAACCAGATGCAAAAAGTACATATCTTATGTGTTCATTTATATAAAGTTCAAAAATAGGCAAAAGTCATCTCTGATGTTGGAAGTCGGGATAATGGTTACCATGGATGAAGGCTGGTTAGTGGTGCCAAAGCAGCTTTTGAGTTCCAGAAATATCTGTTTCTTGGTCTGACTGTTGGTTTCTGGAACATTCACTTTGTGAAATTTCATGGAACTGTACACTTACGACTTGTGCAAATTTCTGTGAGATTTTATTCTTTAATAAAGAAGTTTATTTAACAAGTCATTACATGGGGGAAAAAAAAGCACCTGCCCCAACAATGGAAGTGTACCAAACAGAGTAATGTTCCTCCGTCACTAGAAAACCATCTACTGGTAGCTTTCTCACTGTTGTTTACTGCCTTGTCAACGCTGGCTACATTTTACTTAGATGAAACGTGTACATTTTCCCATATCCAGTCTGGTTCCTTCAAAGACTGGCACTTGCTTCATTATCTGACATTAATGGCCCCAACAGACCCCCAGCTTAGGCAGAGCTTATTGGTAGAAAGCAGTGAGCTACCGAGCTCATCTAATACTTTGAAAGTACACCAGGCTTTCTGAAGACCATATAGTGTAGAGGTAAATCCAACAATTTTATGCCTGTGATACTCATAACATTCTTTCCATCCCATATCACGCCATGTTTTTCTCCATGTTTTCACAAGGGGGTGTACACCGTCTGGAGTCTGTTGAAGAATATAATGAGCTGATGGTGCGAAATGGGGACCCCAGGATCAGGATGTTGGAAGTCTCCCGAGATGGCCGAAAGCACTCTCTTCCCCAGCTGCTGGACTCTACTGGGACATCACAGGTAGGACAGTACCATGGAGCCTTTCATTTTCTCAGACTGTCAGAGTTGCCTGGTCAGGGATGTAAGAGCATGTTTCCACCCCTGGGTCTTGAGGCTTTCTTTTACTCTCTCAGAGACCAACAAGAGCATCCTTCTGGGGAAGAGCTGCCCACCTGTGTGGGCAGGGGTGTTTGGGACTAGAGATGTAGCACAGAGAACGAGGTCTATCTGTGGAGGCTAGGAAGAAGTCAGCCCAGGATTTGAAAACAGTAGAGAAAAATAATCCTTTGTTGGATCTCGACATCTTGATCCCCTTCCTACTGTGTGTTTTGGACCTGAGAGCTGCTTTCAACTGCCAGGAGACAATGGCGCCTCATGGTCTGTGGTCAACCACCATTGCTTGTTCAATGGGCGCGTCAGGTGTCAGTGTAACCACTGGGTGGGTGGGTGAGTGTTGGGTCGTGTGAAGTGGGGGGAGTGCATGTGTGTGCCTATACTATGTCTAGTATTTTATCTGTTACTTAGTAGTGGTTCAAATAGACAAGGTCAGAGGACTGCAGTTGGGGGTAAAGGAGGCAATGATGTTAATATTCCAGGACCTGCCCCAGAAGAGCTCAGGGATCCCTAATTCTTCACAGGGCTCTTCCGCAATTACATTATCCTCAGTCCAGTTACAAGTGTGTAGAGAGCTCCCAACCTAGTTGAAGGCAGGCTCAGTCTCTGGGGAACTCATGGAGTGTTCTTGCAGTCCTGGCACCGTCAGTCAGAGGGCTGAAGAGAAACCATTGGCATCTTGCCTACAGTGAAGCAGCAATGGAAATGGAGGGTGGAGCAGTGACATCCTTAAGTGCATGTAGACTCATGAATCATAGAGATGAAAAGGTCCTGGGGCAGGTCATCTGGGTCAAGTCATTCCTTTGGGTGTGTTATCACCATTTTACAGACAGGCCAGTGAATCTCAAAGAGAGTGAGTATTTCACTCAAAGTGATTTGCCAGAATCCCTGGGAAGAACATTTTACCTAGCCAGACAAATAACAAGCGCCCGTGTTCCAGAGGCAGCTGCTGATCAGGTTATTTTGTGTGGAATCTACCCAAAGACAACTTGAGTTGGGACATGGGGAAAAGGCAGAGCAGAAAACCTGCGTGGGTCCTGGTTAAAACTCCTCCAGACCCGTGACTGGAGACAAGCCTGTGACCTGCTCAGAATGATCCAGCTGGACCAACAGTCAGGAGGTAAACCAGAAAGTCGTAGGAGAACCACTTGTCAGGCTGTTTTAGTTAGTGCAGAAAGTAAGAGAGGGTTTCCTGCCGTCACAGCCAAGGAGGCCTAGCTCTGAGGTGATATTCTTAAGTGACCTGCTGAGAAACCTGACCATACTTATAGCCCAGAAATACCTATTTCTGACAAAGCTCCTAGAAAACAGGCTGGTGAGATTTTAGAGGAAAGATTTTTTTCCCCTTGTCAAAATGTCCTTTTTCTTTTCTTCCTTTCTGCTCTTTTCTTTTTCTACGAGGATTCACCCTTCTTTTCCCTTGTTCTCTCTCCCTCCCCTACAAAGCATTGCGGAGGGTAGAGCCACCCAATACAGCTTTCCACCAGGATGGAGATATCTTATGTCCGTCCTGTCCAGTATGGTAGCCACTTGTGTCTACTGAGCACATGAGATATGGGCAGTGAGACTGAGGAGTGTATTTTTAATTTTAATCTTTGTTTAAATATAGACAGCCAGAGGTGACTGGTGGCTGCCATCTTGGACAGCGGAAGTCTAAGAAGTGCAGTGGGACCCCTGAAGCTCATCAAGAGAATAAGACAGTGTGCCGGCCTCTGGTTCCCACGGGCTCCCGAAGGGGAGATGGCAGGAGGTGCAGCTGGAGAGAGAGTTCCCTTACAAGTCCACACATGAACTCCGTATTTGAGGGCTGGAAACCCATAGGCTATGTCTGGCCATCTCCATGATGGTTTCAGTAAAAGGGCAGTAACCCTGCCAAGCCAACATTTTTTAAATAAATTAGAGTCTGGGAGGCCAGCATAGCTAGCAGATATTTTGTAAAACTGCAAAATAGAATTGTTCTAAGCTGCCAGGAATACAAAAATATCATTAGCAGACATCTCATTTCTACCTTCGGATGTAGAATATACTAATTAAGGCTAGAAACTATTTTCTGATGTCTCTTTTCTCAGATTAAGCACAAAGTTATTTTTTTCCTTTTTTTGCTTATGCTGGACTATCTGTCTCGTTTCAGAGATTTATTATTCTAAGAAGAATAGCAAGAAGATAGATTGTAGAAGTGCTTTAGCAACAGATTTGCTTAAAGTCTTGTTTATGTTCTAAACGGTGAACCCCGCTTGTACACGTGTACGTGTGGGTGATGGACAGCAAAGGGATTGAGATGTGAGCTCCTGCACGCCAGCACGGGGGGAAAGGGTAGCTGATGGGAAAGTATTTTATTTTCCAAATGTGAGGGGTTAGAACTGAAGCTGCTGCCCTTTGTCAGTGGGGTGTTTTATATGGAATAACAGTTGTCGGGGCTTGCGGTTTGGGTTTTAATAAGAAACAAGGGCTTGCTACGTTTTTGGTTGAGTGAATTCAGCTTAAAATGGCAAGATACTTTTTAACCATGATGGTGAACGGGGTGAGGGTAGGGAGCGGCTTCCAGGGAGAACCTGACCACAGGCTAGCCCTCCTACGTCTCTGAGGTCTCTGGGCTTCCAGTTCCTGACTCCATTCCAGAAAGCAAGTAGGAGGATGTGCTGGGTAGCGTCAAAGGAAGGGCACCACTGGGTGCTTGCAGCCTCCAGGCGGCTCTTTCTGCAGCAAGGGTAGCACCACGTGGCGTGTGACAGCCGGGGCTGGTCCTCTAATGGTGTCCATCAGCTCCTTCACGCTGCTCGGCCAGAAATGGAGCAGGGAGAAATGGCTGTCTAACGCAAAAGACAACTGAGATTTTCAAAATCGGAATATATTTCTATGCCAGAGGCCCCAGAAGGGTACACGCGACTATCCCTGACCTTGCCTTATGCTGACTTGTAGGAATATCACATTGTAAAGAAGTCCACGCGCTCCCTAAGCACCACGCAGGTGGAGTCCCCGTGGAGACTCATCCGGCCTTCGGTCATCTCCATCATCGGGCTTTACAAAGAAAAGGGCAAGGTGAGCTCCTTTCTGCTCACTCTTTTGGCCCAGGTGAATGTTAGCATCTGCTTCTTACATGGTTAGCTTTATTACTGTCTTTTTTAAAAATTGTATTTATTTATTTATTTGACAGAGATAACAAGTAGGCAGAGAGGCAGGCAGAGAGAGGGGGAAGCAGACTCCCCACTGAGCAGAGACCCCCCGATCCGGGGCTCGATCCCAGGACCCCAAGATCATGACCTGAGCCGAAGGCAGAGGCTTTAACCCACTGAGCCACACAGGCACCCCTGTTTGTTTGGGTTTTTTTTTTATGTATTTTATTTTATTTATTCATGAGAGAGAAAGAGGGAGAGAGAGAGAGAGGCTCCCCAAGGAGCAGGGAGCCCGATGCAGGACTCGATCCCACAACCCTGGGATCATGACCCAAGCCGAAGGCAGACACTAAACCTACTGAGCCACTCAGGCACCCTAGCTGTATTACTTTTTTTAATGGAAATAAAATTTAAAAGATACAAAGAGGAATAGATTGAGTGGCCTTTGTATAGATTAGAGGGGATTCCCTCGCCTCCTCTCCCAGGGGCTGCTGAGTGACACATGCCCTCTTGGCCTCACGACATAAGGAGTCACCTGGTCCTGGGAGCCAGGGCACTGGGTGGGGTGGACTGTATGCTCCAACATTTACAACTATTGAAAGAAAAGCCACTCCTGCAGCTACAGGGGATATATCCCTCATTATCCTTCTGAATGAATTTCATAGCATTGCCTTTATCACAGAGAGTAATACAAATAAGTTGATATTATACAAATACCAAACCATCCATTTTTATATTACCCAAAACGGGAAGACTGACACCAAAGAATAAAATAAATATGGCACCCAAATTGTACGAAATGACTCTCCTGAGCTATTCATTGATCCATGCAAAATTGCTGTTTTTGAAGATCATAGGTTGTCAAATACTAGCAAGTTCACATGTTTCAAGCTAAAACTTTCTCCCTTTAATGTAATGTGTAGCTAGTACAGTGCAAATAGATCTGAGGAAGGAAGTGGAAAAGAGAATGCAAATTTAAATTTATAGCCAGTTAGCTTAACTCTGAGCCTACCTGGGAAGGAGGCCTCAGTTAAATAGAAATAAGAGCAGATGCCCTCAGTTAAATACTGCATTGACAACCTTTCTGCTTGGGGTGTAGGGCCTTGGCTTTAGCATTGCTGGAGGTCGAGACTGCATTCGAGGACAGATGGGGATTTTTGTCAAGACCATTTTCCCAAATGGCTCAGCTGCAGAGGATGGAAGACTTAAAGAAGGTAGGAGAAAGCCTCTCGGTGGTTCTCAGTGGTGGTGGGCTCTTCCATCACCCTTGCAAGATGTGAAGCCAGTGGCACAGCAGCTAAGGCCGTGGGCTTGGGGGTCAAGTAGACCTGAGCTGAATCTAATACTTACTACATCATGACCTTGGACAGTTGATGTAACCTGAGCTTCACTTTCCTTAGTTTGTAAACTTTGGAATATTAGTACCTATCTTGAGGAGTCATTGTGGGGATTAAAGGAGATGATGTGGGGAATGATTTGATATTTTTTATTTGGGTCTTTAAATGTCTGTCTTGTCCCCTTGGTTCTTAATCATGTTCCTTGCCTTGAAAATTCCTAAGAGCTTACAGGCCATTTTTGCCTCAGGGCCAGAGTGCATGTGTGTGTGTGTGTGTGTGTGTGTGTGTGTGTGTACCTTTTATATTCTCCATAGTCCCTGCCATTTTGCCATTTTGCCATTTTGCATAAACATACTAAACGAGTGCATTTTTTCCTCCCAGCTTTATTGGGATGTAATTGATCCATAACATCGTGTAAGTTTAAGGCATACAACATGATGATTTGATGTGCACATATATTGCAAAATGAGCAGCACATTGAGCGAGCTAACACCTCATCACATCATATAATGACTATGTGGTGGGATGGGGTAAGAACACGTAAGGTCTCCTCTCTTAGAAATTTTCAACTGGACAGCACGGTATTGCTAACCATAGTCACCGTGCTGGGCATTAGATCCCCAGAACCTATTCACGAGTCCTGATTTTTTTTCCTCCCTTTTTAACACACTTCCTTCGTGAAATGACTAAATCACACTATTTGTAGTTACCCTCAGAAATTCTCTAACTGCTCAGTTCAACTGACCCAAATTGTGGGTACTCCTATATTCGGCCGGCTTATTGTTTTTTTAATTGATAAGAATCCCCTGGAGTCTCCTTTTTCTAGGCAGAGCTACCCTAGGAGCCTGTATGCTAATGTTCAGACGTGACCAGGCTTATTTTGAGGACAGAATATTTATTTCTCTCTCTTAGAGGAAGGATTAACTCCCAGGTGATATTTGTAGCTAGTTTCAGAACAATGTAAAATTCTAACAGAGCATTTTTATAATGGATGTGCCATGTGTTCATTTGATTGAAATTCATCCTACAGTAACTGTTAGAATGGAGAAAAATGAAGGAAAAATCAATAGTAAAGGTTAATAGCACTTGATTCTCCTAAATACTGTTTTTTCATACATGTTCATTTACCATAAAGGTAAATCATTGGAATGTATTTCCAATGTGTTGAATGATCTTTTAAAAATCTTGTATAAAGATGTTTAAGAGCATGAGCAATCATTTTAATGATCGTATCCTTTTCCCATGTGGAAGCAAACCAAAAACCTCACCTAGTTAGGTGATTATTTTTAAACAGATTATTTCACTTCTTTTACAACCTCTGTAATTGCATTAGAGAGAAGGCACACAAATGCCTGGGCTACTGCTACGTTTTCAAACTCACCTACAGGATTCCTTAATTGGAGTCCACAGTCCATGAGAGGTGAAAAGGTGTGTTCTGACGCTGATTTACACTTTGTTATAGGTAAGGGAAGTCCCTCTTTTGTCCTGAACTGCTGTACAAAGTTCATCTGTTCTTCTCTTGGGGGCCCCTTCGTAGTGTTTTTGACGAACTGTTATTCCAAAACACAGACCATGTTACAAGAGTACAAACCAAAAACAAACTCTGATAAGTCAACAGGATGTCCAAGTTCTTTTCTATTCCCAGCAGACACTATCAACAGCTGGAAAAATGACCTGACTCTACCTTCCTGGGCTTGAAGATGAGGATGAATCCAGGATAGTTTGGGAGAAAGAGAGAGAATGAATGAGAGAGCAGTTCGGCATTAACCCACGATAATGTCTTAGATAGAAGCGTGGAGTAATTGACCAGCTCCATGACTGGGAACCCGGAACAGCATCAGTAACCCCCAGCATCCAGACTATTTCTGGAGGCAGGGCTGCCATTCTTAAATAATATCTCAAAAGTTTTTTGTCTCTGTTGTTAAAACCATTGTCCACACCCCAGGATGGTTCTCCAAGCTCAAAAATCTTGTCTTCTGCAAATACAGAAGTGGCTTTCTCACGTGTTGTGTGTGTTCATGCTTTCTTGCCTGTTGGCTTACGTTTTTAAACAGATACTATGAGGAAAGACTTGGGCCTTATTATTGCATTTTGATCTCTAACCTTGGGACACTTATTATCAAACTCGGCAATGACAAAACAATAAGGTCTGGGTACTTTCCCTGGTTGTTTTCATTAAAGATGGAGATGCAGAAATACTGAGAAAGGATATGCATTATTAGTTGTCCCATTTTGTGAAGTTCCTGGGAGCTAAGCTAATGGAAACACACTGGAACAATAAAAATCATCTTATAGAATTGTAAATGAGGTTCCCTACGCTGTCCTCTTCTGAAGCTCTACGTTAACGTAATCCTGTTTGGTCACCAGGGGATGAAATCCTCGATGTAAACGGAATACCAATCAAGGGCTTGACGTTCCAAGAAGCCATTCACACCTTTAAGGTAACAACATTCTCATCTCTTTTGTCTTCTTTATTTTTTGTCCTTTATTTCCCTCTGGTTTGGGTTTGAGATTTTTTTTCCCCTACCCTTTGATCTCGGAACAGTCTGACTATTTTAGCCCTCCTCTCTTCTTGTCTTTCCAGCAAATCCGGAGTGGATTGTTTGTCTTAACAGTACGCACAAAGTTATTGAGCCCAAGCCTCACGCCCTGCTCCACACCCACACATGTGAGCAGATCCAGCTCCCCCAGCTTCAACGCCAGCGTAGGCAGCTCAGCGGCAGGCCCCGAGGAAAGCAGCTCTTTGTCCCTGGGTCGGAAGGCCCCCGGGCCCAAGGACAGGATCGTCATGGAAGTAACACTGAACAAAGGTGATACCAGCTCTTCCCCACTTTCATCGTATTCTCTTGAGTAACAATTTGCAATCTGGGCTTGGGTTAACTTTTCCTATTTTTTCTATAAGTTGTTCTTTTGGAAAAATCTGCTGCCAACAACATATGGTATTCTCTAAATGGACAATGGGATCAAAAGTAGAGGTTTTAGTCCTTTCACTGAAAAAATGAAAAGAAGTTACCACTAGCACAAAGTCTTTTAAGCTCTCCCCAGATGAATCACTGTGTGTCAGAAACCTGTGTTAAAAAAAAAAAAAACAACAAAAAACAAAAGAACAAAAAATCACAGACTGGTTTAATTCTCGGGCTAATATAAAATTTTAAAGAACAGGGGCGCCTGGGTGGCTAAGTCGATTAAGCATCTGCCTTCAGCTCAGGTTATGATCCCAGGGTCCTGGGATAGAGCCCCGCATGGGGCGCCCTGCTCAGCCAGGAGTCTGATGCTTCTCCTCCCAATGCACCTCCCCCCTTCTCGTGTGCTCATTCTCTCTCTCTCAATTAAATAAAAAATCTTCAAAAAATTTTTAAAGAACCAAAGATTATAGTTAGGAAAATAGGTAACAACAACTAAAAGTTGTGGGTCTTCACCAAATCTTACTGCTTTTCAACTTTCTTTACTTTTTCTCTACACCTACTATGGAAATATGGTTGGCAATTAAATAGCTAGGAGATTAGTTGCTGGAAAAAAAAAAAAAAGGCATGGGGCGCCTGGGTGGCTCAGTGGGTTAAGCCGCTGCCTTCGGCTCGGGTCATGATCTCAGAGTCCTGGGATCGAGCCCCGCATCGGGCTCTCTGCTCAGCAGGGAGCCTGCTTCCTCCTCTCTCTCTGCCTGCCTCTCTGCCTGCTTGTGATCTCTCTGTCAAATAAATAAATAAATAAATCTTTAAAAAAAAAAAAAGGCAAATGAAAGAAAACCTAAAGCTGTGTATCCAGAATAACAAATACTGGGCCCCCCCCCCCCCCCCCCGGCGGGCCCAGTCAGTGGCGCGCACGGCTCTTGATCTCGGAATTGTGAGTTGCAGCCCTATGTTGGGTGTAGAGATTACTTAAAATCTTTTTTAAAATATATGTATTACTTTGACTCTCCCTGTTCCCAAAAACAGATTTGCGGAGGCTCCTAAGACGAAGCAGAGAACGGACCGCTGAATGATTCACACGGCCCGTAGTTAGCCCCCTGGTTCTGCTGCGGACTCATTTCATTTACAGTCTAGGATGATGTTGACAAAGAAAAGCAGGATTTCCATTCTGAGTCTGATCACAAATAATGGTTATTGGTCTGAATATACATTAATGCAGCTTCAGATCACTTATACTTTTTTTTTTCTTTTCTGTGACCGATGCCTCTCACAGAGCCGAGGGTTGGGTTAGGCATCGGTGCCTGCTGCCTAGCTCTGGACAACAGCCCTCCGGGGATCTACATTCACAGCCTGGCCCCCGGATCCGTGGCGAAGATGGAGAGCAACCTGAGGTTCGTTGTGAAGCCGATCGTACGGGCTTCTCGAGTGTTAATGAATGAATGAATGAGTGTACACGTGAGGTACCCTGCCCTATTTAACATCCTTGTGTGAGATCCTCGACTTTTGTATTATTGGCACGAACATAGCCAAGATTACAATTAATAGCATTTCCTGAAAGATGAAAAGGTAATCTAAATGAAAGTAGTGTTGACGTAGAGAACTCCAGATCTTGGCTTGCCTATTTTGGTCTGTTGGGACTCAGAAGTTCAGTTTCAGAAACTTGACAGAATACAGCTCTGTATAAATATCTATGATTATCTAAGTATTTCCTTTCATGTTTATATTCACTTATGCAAAATTCACATGTGATGCGGGGAACCGCTCCTAACAGTTCAAGATCGCTAGATACAGAGTCCCGAAATCCTGCCCTTCCTTCAACAGGAGGCCTTTGGGATTGAACATGACCTCTTGAGGCTTTCCTGTTGTTTCATTTCTTTTTGAGTGATGTTGTCTAGAAACTTATTGTCTGAAATCACTGCGTGTCTGATTTCTCAGTTCGGCTAGTTGATCGGTAGCCTGGGTGTGTGTTTGTACAAGAGATGTCTAGGTGTTCTGTCCTACAGTAATTGCAGTGGGTCTGTGCCCACCTAAACTTCACAAGAAGTACAAATATTGCACAAAGCGCCCTGTGCAGACAGTATCACCTTTTTTCCCTGTAAGCTTCCAAGTCCTTGAGCAGTTGAGGAATTGTCCAAAATGACATTCCTTGAGGTTGCCATTCTGGGGCCCTGTCAATAGATTATGTTTTTAGTTAATCATCAGAGTGAATTTCCATACAAAAAAAAAAAAAGTTAGCAAATCATCCAAAGTACATTAAAGAAAATATACTTTTAGAACCCCAGAAAAAAAAAAATCCTTTAATGACATCCCAAGATGATGTTTCTTTCTTGAATGGTTCCATATGTCTGGAGCCTGCCAAATGAACATTCTTCAAACCCCACATAAAGAGTCTTTGTTCTCTCATACTGAGTTCTCTGCCTATAATTTCAAGTCAAAATGGGCATCTTGTCCCCAATTTCTCATTTCTTCAAATTTAAAACGTTTTTACAAACTCTTGGGTAACCTTTGAGCTCGAGATATTTCCTCCTCGAATTATATTACAATAAGCATTTCAAGATGGTAGGAAAAAAGAAAATGATGGTGGTCAAGGGGCTATCTTGTGATGAAAAGGTAGACAGACCCGACTTCAATGGTGTGTGACGTCAGGGTGACCTCTCTGAGCCTCGCGTCTTATCTAAATAATAGGAATAAGAATACGTAGTCCAAGTAGTGCTATGTAAATTGTTCATAGGGGCACCCGGTCTACACCATGAGCTCAAGAAATGAAAACCCTTCCTATTGTCCCATTATCAATTTATTCAACTCAGATATGCATGACCCCTTTGCCAGTTTAATATCCAACATGCTTTATGAATGTGTTGCTTTTTTACCCACATGAAAAGACAAAAGGATGTCATTTGCTTGCTTAAGGTATTCAGAATAGATTTCATGTGATAAACCTCTCCTGTAAGATCCTGTAAAAAGCTCTTACCACAGAGTGCTGGTCATTTGCCTTCCCTAGCCGCGGTGATCAAATCCTGGAAGTGAACTCGGTCAACGTCCGCCACGCTGCTTTAAGCAAGGTCCATACCATCCTGAGCAAATGCCCCCCAGGACCCGTTCGCCTTGTCATCGGCCGGCACCCTAACCCAAAGGTGAAGTATTTCATATTTTTCTGAGTAGGGGCAGAGGGCGTGGCTGTTTGTCCAGCAGCAGTGAGACCCGTGCTCGTATGATGATCGTATGATGACACAGGCTCTTTGGTGAGACAGTTTACCCAACTGGGCATGGTCATCAGCGGCTTGTGGTCACACGGCGACCAGGGTAACCGATACCCATGGGAAACAAGTCATGGGTCTGGACTTCTTCGTCTTCACACTCGTAGAAATTTTATGAGGAAATTTTGACATTGTTATTGGTGAATATAAAATATGGTAGAAGGTAAGAGTACTGGGTTCCTAGGACGTCCCAGCTGGTTGTTTGATCTCTGGTGAGATACTGAACCTTTTTGGGTTTCTGTATCCAGAAAATCTGAGAGCACTGGACTAAATGGTCTGTCCAGGCCATCCTTGACCTGAGCAGAATACTATAATTAAAGCTTAGGAGCCCACTAATTTTTTTTCAGCATCGATATCACATTGTTGAACTTGCAGACCATCATAGCCCCTGTTTCCTCGGACTTTGCTGATATTTGATTGTATCTTCTCTATACTGAAGCAGTTGCTTTGAATTTTTTAAGGTTAACCAGAGGCCTTTAGCAAATTGGACTCTACTGGCCTTGAGCACTATTATTTTGTTGTTTCGAGTATTTGATGTAAAAGTCTTTTTAAGTTAGCTTGTCTCTAGTATTACAATCAGGTGTATCTTTATGAAATTTAACCTTTTCTTCCAACAACTCAAATGCTCCTTAAGGACATTAGCCCTTGTCGTGCCTGTCCTATGACCACCTCCTCTGTATCATTTGTACTGTTATGTCCTAAATGGGCCCAGGCCATTTGATGGACTCACGTGCCATTCTGAGACTGAGATGTCTGTGAAGAGAGACCTGGCGGGTCCTCCCCTGTGTGAGATTTCTTCAGTATGTAAATTATATGGCATCATGTTTCCTGTCTCAGTGGGGTCCATTGCACTGGCTTTCCACAGTGCTTGGTCAACCATTAGATTGATTCAAAGTCAACTCCTCTACTGTTTGTTTCCCAGATTGTTTTCTCTCATCTACATGCATTCTCATATATGTCTTAAAGAAAAACTTCTTGAATATCATTAATATAAAATCAAGTCCTGCTTCTACCTTTTTGCATTTTTTCTCTTGTCCCTTCCTATTTTTCCTCCTTTCTATTTTGTAGTTTTGACACTTTCCTTTAAAACCTATTCTCCTTTGTCTCCCACCTGCCCCCATGGCTCTCTTTGGGTCATTTTTAATAGCATTCCTCCTCATACTCACAGCTCGAGTGGTCTTGGCTCCTTCCTCCAGGGTCCTCTCTTGGATTCCATCACCTGCATGGCCTTACCCCCTACCCCCCTTCCCCCTTCCAAAGCAGCCCAATAAGCTGGGGCTGACCTAGCACGTCCCTCAGCAACATCATAAAAAATTAAGTTCTCATGGTTTGCAGTCACTGGCTTCAAGGCATGTCTGACTTCAGAATCCATTCCAACGTAGCACAGGTCACGATTTGTGTGGAGGTCTGCTTCTTCTCAGCCCAAAAGCATCTGCCTAATTTGCCAATATAATCAAACATCAAAATGGCATTTCAGTGCAAAGCATAATAATCCTGATGGACTGGTGGTCTGCGAGCCTACTGAATCCAGGTTGATTCATGCCTCTAGCCACAGTAAAATGGTCATCATGACGGCGCTAAAGATACATCCCGCAAAACCAGATTTCAGTATTTGTTTGACTAGATCTCACATTTCTTCGTAGGTAAACATGGTGTTCTTAGTTATAACACCACCCTGTATTTTCCTTTTGGTCAAGATTCCACTTTATGTTTAATGTATTTTTATTCCACTCACACCGGCATTTCATGCCAGTAGTACATTTTGGTTCTGAATGTATGTGCTTCCTTAGTTTTCATGTTGTTCCAATAGAAATACCACAAGGATTTGCTTTTCTTCTGTTTCTCATAATGACTGGAGCAGTGGCTGCCCAACTGGGATATTCAAACCCTCCAGGTCTAGACAAGCTAAGACTTGGACTTGCCAGAAGAAGGTCAGGGGGATCCTTTTTTAGCTGGTACTGGGGCTCTCAGCATGAATAGAATTACCCAGGAAGTCTTTCAGTTGTTTCAAACCCTACCATTTTTTTCCCGCTCAGAAAAACAGTTGCAAATATTGAAAGTTTCATGTCAAGAAAAAGTAGCAACCACTGTCTAAGCTGATATTTTTTCCTGACTCATTCATACAAAATTGCTCTTTGCTTTATGAAGTGTGTGTGTGTGTGTGTGTGTGTGTGTGTGTGTGTGTGTGTGTATTCAAGTGTATATCCCTGTGTGCATGTATGTGTGTTTGTTATTATTATTTCCTATAAGGCCCACCAGAAAGTATTACATAAACATGATGTGATTATGGTTTATCTGTTAGGTTAAAATGTAATGCTGAATCCTACATAGCTTTATGTACTCACTAAGACAAATTGCTATGCTTATCCAAATGTCATTTATGCTAAATATTATTTTACCACACAAAATTACCACTCTAAATTTACAGTATTCTTATCTTTAAAAAAAAGAAATTCTATGCAATTTAGGTAATGGCCTTTTAAAATATCTCATAATTCAGCATACCTCAGGCTTTTTAAAAATCTTTTCTATGAATAAGGACAATTATGGGTAACAATTGATGGGGAGAAAAATCCATGAATCTACCATGATAATATAGAAAGAAAAAAAGTTAGAAAATGACTATTTTGAAAAGTTCATTGTAAAAATTGATCCAAGTAAAAATGATCAATAATGTTAAAACCATTGAGTAAAAACATACTGGGAGCACGATATGGATGTTGTTGCAAGCTGTTTCCTCACAGATCACTCATTGATGACCAAAAAAAAAAAAAAAAAAACAGTGGAAAGATCTGGTGAACTCCATCCTAACCGAGTGGTCAAAGTTATCTCCAGTCATGAAACATGAGTCATTGACCCCGAATGCCTCCCTGAAGCCTGAGAAGGAAACAGTTTTTGTAGTTTTTCTGCCCAAAAAAACAGTGCATCATCTAAATCTCAGCATGAAGAAGCTATCACACAAATCCTAACCGAGGGTTTGATTGGCCTGGGTTTCTTCCAAAATATCAGCATTGTGACAAAGAAAGGCTCAGCAATGTTCTGGCTTAAAGGAGTCTAAAAAGACATGGCAACCAGACCCTGAATTGAATTCCGGATTGCCAAAAATGAGATTTCTCTGAAGCATTACTATGCAAGGGTGTTGGCTGGTGATGGTCTACTAAGATCCATGAGATAACGAGCTTGTACCAGAATGCAAATCAGTTACATCACGATGTACACTGCTCAGTTCAGGGGACACTTTTGCCCAGCAACACACTGGTGGTGAAAAACTGAGTGTTGGAAAGCATTCTGGAGGAAAAACCTGTCTCGTTGCAAGCTGGCATCAAACTTCTTAGGAACTACTTCCATCTACAGACATTTCTGAAGGATAGTGTTAGGACAGTTGGCTAAATTGGAATAAGAAATGTAAACTAGATGGTCATTTGTATCAGTGTTACATTTCCTAGAATGGCAGTAGTGCCAGGGTTATTGAAGAGAATGTTCTTGTTTTGAGGAGACACATGCTAAAATATTTCTGGGTGAAGGTTCCTGATGTCTGCAGCTAACTTCCAGATGGTTTGGTAAAAAATGAAGCAGTGTGTGTGTGTGTGTGTGTGTGTGTGTGTGTGTGAAGAAAGAGCATGAGTGGGGCACCTGGGTGGCTCAGTTGGTTAAGCCTCCGACTCCTGGTTTCGGCTCAGGTCATAGTCCCGCGGTCATGAGATCGAGCCCTGCATTGGGCTCTGTGCTCAGATTATCCCTCCCTCTTCCTCTGCTTTCCCTCCCCTCCTGTGCCTTCTCTCTCCCTCCCTCTTTCTCTCTCTGTCAAATAAATAAATTATATATATATATCAAATCAGTCTTAAAAAAGAGCATGAGTGTAAATGTGGCAGAATGTTTAAAACCAACAACCACGAAGAGTACCCTCTTTTTGCGCTACTCTTACAAGCTTTAGGTAGGTTGGCGATTGTTTAAATAAAATCTAGAGGAAAAAAGATTTAGAAGTGAAAGTTCTAGAGAAAGGCAGGTTTCGGCCCGTGGTTGGTAACTGTGGCACCTGAGCATTAACGACGCTGGGAAGCAGCCGAAGACCTTGTTCCAAACACACTGTCGGAAGCGATTGGCTAACACAGTGTCCTTATGTGCCCTGAGTCATTGCTTCCGAGGGTGGGCATAATCATGGGCTTTATGGTTTCCCTCCTTATCTGCACTCAGCCTCTGACTCAGGTCAGAGCTACTTTTATTGGGGGGAAATAAATAAATAAAACCATCTAATTTGTGCTTTCTGCTGAAAATCAGATTTCCGAGCAGGAAATGGATGCAGTGATCGCACGCAGCACTTATCAGGAGAGCAAGGAGGCCAGCTCCTCTCCTGGCTCAGGTACTATAATAGCACATCTTCATTCAGTGTTCAACAGAGCTTCTCAGGAAGCTCCCCCGGGGGCCCTGCCCCATGCCGGGTTACTGGATTCTTTGTCATCATCGGGTTTGCCAGAAGTCATTGTCAACCAGATCCTATGCTTTCTCCCAGCTGCTGTTTTTGATTTCTGCTGTTACTTAATGTGCTTTATTAAAGTTCTAATCATGCATGCTTCTTACACTATGAGATGATTTGCAAAAGTGAGTTAACAGCATTTCACGCGTTTATGTGTAATTCATCTGAAATAGCCGAGGAGGAAAAGTAATACCAAAATATCGGTTGTTTGGTAGACACAGAGTGTTCTCTATCCCAAAGCCTGGGGTTTCTTTATGTGAATTAAAGATTTCCACCCAGTAAGGCAACCTTCCTTCAATAATAAGTAGATATTTTTTTAGGTTTCAACTTAGGAAGGGTAACCATAGAAGCTCCCCAAATCATGATTTCCGCCTTCTTAAGTGGAAAAGTTCAGGCAGAGAAGGATTGAGATAGTAAGAATTTCCTATGAATTTCAAATGGGAAGCATTGTGTCAAGTTTTAAAAGTAATGTTTCCGGTAGAATGGAAATCCAAAGGGACTCTGCAAACATGTCTCAACTCAAGATATTGCCGATGTCAAGATTGATGTCAGGAGAAAAAGGAACTGAGATATGAGTTACTGGTTGTCAGAGGAAAAGGAAGGCATAGGATTTTTTGGCAGCCATGTAATACCCTGATTATTTGCATCTGTAATTAATATATTTAGAGTGGCCACAGCCATAATGGGCTCTTTATTCGGCCAGCTCCTTCTCCTGACGTGCCTGCGAGCTGTCCCCTCATAACCTTGGCATACCCCTGCCATCATTCATGAAAGATTTTATTAAGCTGTGAAATTCATGCACAAGATCTTTTTGCTCATGGCAAAAGTTTCGATGCCAAATCTTTTCATCCTTCTACTGAAAACCAAAATAGGTATTCAACCCTCCTCCCAGTTCCTTCATGAGTTTCCTGAGTGTTGTTTCTCTGTTCGTTGATCCTTCAGTCCACTCAACAGATAGCACTGAATACTCCCTAGATCCAGGTGTAGTGCTGAGCACTGTGGGGTCAGATCAGTGAAGGTCTCAGCATTACATAGTTGAGGAAGGGAGATGAGGGGCATCCACTTAAAATTAAATTACACTGTGTGTATGGAAATGGCAATGCAAAAGACTTTCAAGATTCAGAAGTTACTTCTGACTGGGATCATCCCATCATCAGGAGCTGAAAATGGGAGGTGGCATGGAGTAGGGATCGGGTACCCAGGTCAAGAACATGGCTGTCTATACATATGCACCTGGCCCATCAGTGTCAGTAAAGCAAAGGGGGGTTAATGTGTTTGGCTCTGTCTTTTGTGGATAAGAATGTAAAATATTTGTAAGGATGTGAGCTTTGCTGTTTTGACATTCTGGTGAATTTTCTCTCCAACAGGTACCCCCTTGAAGAGTCCCTCTCTTGCAAAAAAGGTGAGTCAAGGCACACTGCTGCCTCACTCCGCTGGCTCATGAACCAATTCCTGGAGCCCATAAGTCAGCCCTGAGGGCCCCGCCCATGCCTTTGTCCAGGAGTCATTTTGGCTACTTCACAGATGATGGCAACACCGCTAATTTGAGAAGATACAAAAATGGGTGTTTCTTTTATTAAATACTCAACTAAGGAAAGAATAGAGCAACAATAAAAGAACTGAGCTGCAGTTTAAGAAGCGGTTTTCAAACTGTTCCACAATAGAGGGGTCCCCAGTTGGTTTTCGGGGGGGCCTGTGACTTTAAGGAGACTGGAATCTTTCCCAGCTGGGAATGCCTCAGTCCCAGTGGATCAGAGCACAGGACTCAGACTCCCCTCTTCTCTGTTCCATCATTAGGCTGAACCAGTGGCTTGGAATGGCATCCCATTTTCTTGTCTCTTCCCCCAGTGTTTTTCCTGGGTTGGTTGATATATTGCTTCTGTGGCTTTTCTGGTCATCGCTAAACATTTGGCCAAAAAAAGTCTCTTAAAAACATTGTCTGGCAGCAACTGTTGCCTTTTTCATTAGTTGTTTACTTTAGCCGTCCTAGGGTCCACGGGAGTGGGCGTCCGCTCTCACCACTGCTGCAGACGGCCATGGGTGAGAACAGAGTGTTCTTGGAAAGCTGGGAATTACTGTTTCAGATAACCGCCCTCTGGCGTGCCTTCCTCCTCATCCCGCTCCATCTCCTCCAACAGGACACCCTGACTTCTGAAGCCGAAGCCTCCCCATACTTTGCCCACAGTGTCCCAGGCTCCCTGTCAGACTTCGTGGTGGCTGCTTCTGAGGATGAGGACCCTCCGGGCAGCGGCGGCAGCACCTCCGAGGACGGTGGCCCCCCAGCCAAAACCTCCAGTAAACAATGCTATTCTCTGACTCGGGTCCCTTTGGTTTATGTAGCAGGACAGTATAATGTCCTGGGGACATGTAACAGGGACCTGGAAACCATGGCTTTGGTCGCCCAGAAGCCGACTTTTTACCCTGACTAAATTCTGAATTTATTTTTGGAAACTGCAGCCCCCGTCCCCCCACCGACTGGCCCCTTGGTTCTGGGTCGAAGGGTCCGGGCGCACGTTGTGTACCCAAGCGTTGGAGGTGGCTCACCTGGTCAGTGTTCAGATCCTACTTACGTAGTATCATCTTGACATTTATGGCATGAAATCAGCGTGACCACCTAACAGCCTTCTGTTTTAGGGATTCCTAGCCAAATCCCAGGTCCCTTCCCTCACCAGGCCCAAACTGAATTGTTTTAAGAAGGCAGTTGAGTGAAAGATTCAGAACTCATAAGAGATCAATGTTGTCAAACAGTTGTTTGCTTCTAAATCCCCTTGATCACGCTTTCACTGTTCTATGAGAGAATGATCTGATGCGAACCGTACTGATTCCTCCGGCTTCTACTGGTGTGGTTCGGCTTCTACTGGTGTGGTTCGCTTTTTTTTTCTTTTTTCTTTTCTTTTCTTTTGTTCGTTTGTTTGTTTGTTTGTTTCTACTGTGTGCACCAGAACATCCCTGTCTTAGGATAGGCAGACTTGACCGCTCTGGCTCTCATTTGGAACAGCTGACAAGCTTACTCCTGTCTCTGATAGAGGCATTTCTTTTTTTTTTTTTTAATTTAAGATTTTGTTTATTTATTTGACAGACAGCGATCACAAGTAGTCAGAGAGGCAGGCAGAGAGAGAGGAAGGAAAGCGGGCTCCCTGCCAAGCAGAGAGCCTGATGGCCCTAGTATCATGACCTGAGCCGAAGGCAGAGGCTTTAACCCACTGAGCCACCCAGGCACCCCTGATAGAAGCATTTCTATCACACGGTGGAAGCACATGTAATTCGCCGTACATTTAGCAAGCTCTGGGGGATTTGCTGAGCAGCACGGGCTTTCCCTGTCCCTGCTTGGAACTTAACATAGATAATAATCTCAGACTTCCCTGTACCGTGCTCTAGGAGCTTCTGTGTGCTGCACACCCCCTCCCCACCCCCAGCCATCTCTGCAAATGAAGAAGGGCCTCGTGTGATCAAAAGGTGCAGGGGTGTGGGGCTGGTTGGTCTCCGGGCATCGTCCCAAAGAGGACTTCCCAGCAACAGCATCTGGTTTGAACCCTAGCAGTGTGTTAGGCATCCTGGACGTTGAATTAAACATTTCTGTCTCTAGGCAGCATACAATCCAGAGGTTGAGGTTAAGAAAATAAGTAAAATAAAACTAAGCAAACAAAAAGGGAGTCCATTAGGAAAAGGAGAGGGAGAAGCCGGCTGTCCATTGGGTGCAAATCCCAGGAGGCCACATCCTTGAATCTGGGTGGTCAGTGGCCAGAGGCTGAATGGCCAGCAGTTTTGAGGGTGGGAATGCTCCTGTGTAATGAGGGGGGATTTATAAAACGAGGCCAGACAGGAAATCATATTCATTTGACTGTTTCTTTCCCCATTCCCACCAGCTCGCAAGGAGCCAGGAAAACCCCGAGCCAACAGCCTTGTGACACTAGGAAGCCAGCGGTCCTCTGGGCTCTTCCACAAGCAGGTGACGGTTGCCAGACAAGCCAGTCTTCCTGGAAGCCCGCAGCCCCCCCGGAACCCGCTCCTCCGCCAGAGGAGGGTGGGCTGCTATGACACAGATGATGCTAGCGATGAGGAAGAGTTTGACGGCGAAGGGGACTGCATTTCTCTCCCGGGGACCCTTCCTGGTCCCAGCAGGCCTCTGACAGAGGACGACTCAAGGCACATCCTGATGACCTCTTCCAAGGTCATGGGTATCAACAGCCGGGGGGAACAGCCCCAGAAAACCGTGGTCAGCAAGGCCTCCTCGGTGCCTCTCCTCGGCCGTTCACTGGACTTAGAGGAGAGTGTCCCAGAGGGCGTGGGGGACACTCCTTCCCGAGCAGCCAACCTGCTGGCCTCTGCAGGAGCCTCCAGGGGTGGCCCTGGCTGCTCAGGGAGGAAGGAGCTCTCTGGATCGAAGAGTTCCCCCAAATTGGAATACAAAGCTGACACAGGCACCCAGAGTCTGGGGAACACAGATCCCCCCAGATCCGCCCAGCAGAAGAATGACAGCCTGGGGTCCAGGCACAAACCAGTGGCCAGAGTCAGCCCACATCACAAAAGGCCTGAGGCTGACGCCAGGCCCAGCACCTCGGAGACAGTGCACCTGACCGCTGGAGCGGACATCCCCTGTGTCCGGGCCACTGCCAGCAAAGAGACCAGGACTGGTTTTCATCCAGGGGAAACTGCGGAAAAGGTAACTGATCTCCTCTTCATAACTTGGGACCTGAGTCACTACCCTGTGAGTGAGGATGGGGTGTGTGAGTGCGTAACCCGCCTGGAAGAGGGTCAGTGGCTGGCCGCTTCTCTTGCAGCGGTCATTCATTGCCGTCCACGGGCTGCTTGGGAGCCTGCCTGCGTATCAGCAGGCAGGTGGGGGCCCGTGCCCAGGGACCCAGTCATCGGTCAGCCTGCCGGATGATGAAATCACTCTCTTGCCTGGACACGGGGCCATGGTGGATGAGGGAAGGGTGGCGGGAGACTGGCGAAGAGCACCGGGTCTGCTCCGCTGGCAGGTGGGGGACCACGGAGGCAAGTTATGGACCCAGATCGTCTCCCAGACCCGGGCTGACCATCAAACATAGCCTAACAGTGCTTCCCTCCAGTCGATGAGGTTCTGAGCGACCCTTATCTCTTCTAGACTTTGGTGATTATGTGGAATGAAAGCTACTCATACCCTCGTTGTGAGAATCACATGAAATAATGGGCACGCTAGAAACTGATCACACGCTGGGCCTCCTGGCTGGCTCAGTCGGGAGCATGTGACTCTCAGTCTCGGGGTTTTAAGTGTGAGCCCCATATTGGGTGTAGAGATTACTTAAATATAAAATCTTAAAAAAAGAAACTTACAACACACCACTTTAGATGCAAGTCAATATTATTTATGTTACAGCTTTATTGCACATATGCTACAATGATGTAGAATTGTCAAATTGCTCATTTGTAATCAGTAGACTTCCACTTAAGCAAGGAGAGTGTAAGAGAAATGAATGTTGTTTATGATCTCAACATAAATAGTTTCTCTCTGAGGTGATTGTAAGGCCGTGTTTATAAAGATGTGTGTTCAAGTGCTTTATACAAACATACGTGTAAACAGACCCAGAAAATATGAAGTCATAGAAACTGTATTAGGCAGAAGGGATTTTTGTTAACTGTATAGAAAAAATAGAAACATCCATCTTTTTTCATCCTCCTAAAAAAATGTTATTGGTTCCAACTAGCATATGTTCTTTTTTTTTTTTTTTTAAGATTTTGTTTATTTATTTGAGAGAGGGGGAGAGCACAAGCAGGGGGAGGGGCAGAGACAGAAGCAGGTCTCCCACTGAGCAGGGAGCCTGATGAGGGGCTCAATCCCAGGACCCTCGGGTCATGACCTGAGCTGAAGGCAGAGGTTAATCAACTGAGCCATCCAGGCCCCCCTACCATATGTGTTTTAAAATGCAAAGTTAATAGGTTAAGCCCTTCTTTCAAAAAGTATCCTCAGGGGGCGCCTGGGTGGCTCAGTGGGTTAAGGCCTCTGCCTTCGGCTTGGGTCATGGTCTCAGGGTCCTGGGATCGAGCCCCGCATCGGACTCTCTGCTCGGTGGAGAGCCTGCTTCCCTATCTCTCTCTCTCTCTCTCTCTCTGCCTGCCTCTCTGCCTGCTTGTGATCTCTGTCTGTCAGATAAATAAATAAAATCTTTAAAAAAAAAAAAAAGTATCCTCAGCCCGTTTTGATATCTATATAAACCACGGGTTTTATTCATGATAACTTATATAGAGCTTTTGTCATTGTGAATGAGTATTCCCAATAAGAATTTTGAGATGCATTTAAAACTTTTGCACAGAAGTTTAACTCTTTTTGGTTGTCTTCTACTGTTTTTATTTAATACTTTTTAAATTGAGACCAACATCATATAACAAGATTAAACATTTTAAAATGCAGTTCAGCTCTCTCCTCTGCTGCCACCTTTGGGCCACTTTCTGACTACTTAACTCAGAGGGTGAATTTCAAATAAAGCTGATATAACTTCGTAGTGACTTTTCTTTTTTTATAGTAGGTTTTAGATAGAAGAAAGGAAGATAAAGTAATTGACACTTGGCTAAAGTGAAATTTTGAAATATTAAATGTGAATTTCATTTATTCTGATAAGTCCTAACCCTAAGTGCCAAACTGAGGAGCTGATCTTACAGTCTTGGATATCATTATGCGAGTATAAAGACAATAATGTCTTACATCTAGAAAGCCTTTCGTGGGCTGCATGTGGTTTCTATAATGGTTCACTTAATCCTCTTTTATTTAAAACTCTATGAGGGGTGCCTGGGTGGCTCAGTTGGTTAATGTCCGACTCTTGATTTTGGCTCAGGTCATGATCTCAGGATCGTTGGATCAAACCCCGGGTCAGGCCCTGTGCTGCTCGTGGAGCCTGCTTAAGATTCTCTGTCTCCCTCCACCCCTCCCCCACTGTACGTGCGCTTTCTCTTTCTTTCTCCAAAAAAATAAAAAATAAAAAAATAAAAGTTAAGTAAAGTAAAACGCTATGAGTTAGACAGGGCAAGTCTTTTTTTTAACATATAATGTATTATTCGCTTCAGGGGTACAGGTCTGTGGATCATCACTCTTACACAATTGACAGCACTTACCATAGCATATACCCTCCCCACTGTCCATAACCCAACCACCCTATCCCTCCCCCACCACCCCCCGCAATGCTCAATTTGTTTCTTGAGATTAAGAGTTTCTTATGGTTTGTCTCCCTCCTGATCCCATCTTGTTTCACTTTTTCCCTCCCTGCCCCCTGCAACCCCCCACTCTGCCTCCAAAATTCCTCATATAGGAGAGATCATATGATAATTGTCTTTCTCTGATTGACTTATTTCATTTAGCATAATACCCTGTAGTTCCATCCACATCATTGCAAAAGGCAAGATTTCATTTTTGATGGCTGCATAGTATTCCATTGTATATATGTACCACATCTTTATCCATTCATCTGTTGATGCACATCTAGGCTCTTTCCATAGTTTAGCAATTATGGATATTGCTGCTATGAATATTTGGGTCCACATGCCCCTTAGGATCACTACGTTTGTATGTTTAGGGTAAATACCCAGTAATGCGATTGCTGGGTTGTAGGGTAGCTCTACTTTCAACTTTTTGAGGAACCTCCATGCTGTTTTCCAGAGTGGCTGCACCAGCTTGCATTCCCACCAACAGTGTAGGAGGGTTCCCCTTTCTTCGCATCTGTGCGAACATCTGTTGTTCCCTGACTTGTTAATTGTAGTCATTCTGACTGGTGTGAGGTGGTATCTCACTGTGGTTTTTGATTTGTATTTCCATGATGCCGAGTGATGTTGAGCACTTTTTCATGTAGACAGGGCAAGTCTTATCTCCATTTTGTCCCCAGTTTTTTAAAGATTTTTTATTTATTTATTTGACAGATCACAAGTAGGCAGAGAGGCAGGCAGAGAGAGGAGGAAGTAGGTTCCCTGCTGAGCAGAGAGCCCAATGGGGAGCTCGATCCCAGGACCCTGAGAGCATGACCTGAGCCAAAGGCAGAGGCTTTAACCCACTGAGCCACCCAGGCGCCCCTGTCCCCAGTTTTTTGACTGTGGTAAAATACACATTACAAAAGCATGCAGTTCAGGAGCAAACATTCATAATGTGCAATATCACCGCCATCTCCAGAAAACTCTGTGCCCGTCCTACAGTAACTCTCCATCCCCTCCCAGCAGCCCCCAGAAACCACCACTCCACTGTCTCCCTGATGTCAGCAACTCCCAGTACCTCATCTAAATGGAATCAGACAGTCTGTGTCTTTCTGTGACTGGCTTACTTCACTTCCCATAATGTCCTCCAGGCTCATCCCGACTGTAACACGTGTCAGAACTTCCTTCCTTTCTAAAGCTGAATAATATTCCATCATAGGTCTGTTCCACATTTTGCTTATCCATTCATCTCTCAATGGATGCTTGAACTGCTTCCACATTTTCGCTATTACAGACAGTGCTGCCATCAACACGGGAGTACACTTATCTCTTAGAGAACCTACTTTCGATTCTTCTGGGTCTATACCCAGAAATGTGGTATCTGGATCGTATGGTATTTCTATTTTTATTTTTTTGAGGAACGTCCATACTGTTTTCCGTAGTGGCTGCACCATTTCCCATTCCTGCCAGCAATGCGCGCAGTTCCCATTCGTCTCCATCCCCACCAACACCTGTTATTTCCGTTTTGGGTCACAGCCACCCTTGCGGGTGATTCTCCACGTGATTCTGATTTGCATTTCCCTGATCACCCTCATTTCAAAGTTGAGAAAACCGAGGCTTAGGCAGAGTGACAAGACCATGTAATTTCTAGCGGCCTTAACCCCAGAATCTGGATCCTGTGGCTCCTAGTCCAGGGCTGTCTGAAATTTCCTAAAGCAGAGCTTTCATGTGTGATGTGTTCGGGCACAGAAAACCTGAAAGCTGTCAACAGTGACTTGTGGTTGTCATTGTGCCAGGAATCTCTGGGGAAGCTGACCGTCGGCGATGGGCATGTCCCTGCCAACGGGGAGCCTGCCGCTGCCCCGCCCCACCCAGATGCCAGCCACTGCCCAAAGAACCTGCTCGAAGCTGCACCAGAGCAGGGTCAACAACCCAAGACAGGTAAGATTATTTCATTGCTTGTTAAGCTTCAAGATGGGAGAGCGGACCTTACCCTAATAAAAATGTTATATGTGGAGAAATTTGAGGGGGGCGGGAAAAAAACCTCTTCCACAGATTAGTGATATTTACAAGCTGCCTGCGTTTAACTTTACTAGATCATCATGCCTGAACTCATAGTTTTAATTCCACATCAGAGTGGTCCATTTCCAGCCACTTGACACTCCTTACTATTTTGTGATGGGTGCCTTCATGAACGAGACATGAGATGACATAGAGGAGTTCCTGCCCTTGAGAATTTCAATACTTGGCTCACATGAAATCAAATGCATGGAGAAATATTTTTTTACTTCCTGCATCCGCAGAATATAATGTTTGAGCAGCATACTGAGGTCAGTAAGATGCTTTTGGCCTGGGTGACTGGTGCTGGCCCCAGCCAGCCATCCTGAGCACTAATGCGTCTGCCTCAGCACCTCTGTGACCGACTCTGGCTAGGAAACTGCACCCACGTCTGCCGTGGCCTTCCGTACCTGCAACATCGTTTGCAAAGGCTGCCGGGCCCTCTTCCCCATCGTGTGCCATAATTGAGTCATCGTCCTTCCCATGATGAGATTGGGGAAGGGGGTGACATCGAGAACTGCCTCTGTGTCACTTAACCTCCCTCAAAAACGCTCTTCAATTACACACTTTGCAAGAAAGTCAGATTGTTAATAAAAATTTAGGGTTTGCTCAGCAAGTGGATCCGAAGCTAGAGAATAACCTTCACATCCCCTCCTTTTGTCTCATTGTGACTGTTCCCCATGGCTGGCACCAGCAGAAGCAGGAAAGTCATTCTGAAGGGAATTCAAACGGTTGAGCAGAGAAGGACAGGAGCCCACGGAGTCAAGTCTTGGTATATCCCTCGCCTTTTGTGGGGGCCTGGGGAAGTTACATACAGTCTCCATGGAGGTCTTGATGGGCCGACCTTGCTGTGGCCAGGTGCTGTCTACACAGAGGTCATGCAGTCAGGGTTTAGAGAATGGGGTAGGCTATGGGACTTCCCAGGTGGCCCCTGGCTGTACACTCTGCGGTCCTGCACCCGTTGCTAAGCCACACTGTGCCTCAGTTCCCTACTGTTCCAAAGCAGATGGAGACCAGACCCACCTCATGGTGTTGGGAGAAAAACTAAGAGCATGAGAAACTCGTAGCACAGTGCTAATAATTAGTCCTTCATTGTTGACACAGGGACTTCAGGAGGGGGAAGGCATATGCAATTAAGATGATTTGCGTGGGAGATGAGGAAGGAGTGTAACATTTGGGTAGACAGTCTTCTCAAAGCAGGTGCTTTCATTGTGACTGTGTCACTATAACCCCTGGTTCCTAAGAAAATAGCAAATCTACTGTTCTCTTCTATGCCAGTTTCCCCTGATTATCCGATGCCATGGGCCAGAGGTGCACAGATTAGCCTGAGGGTGTGCAGGGCCTTACAAGGAGGTACCCCCAGGACAGAGGCTCTCCGGGACCCACCTCCTGGAATGACCATGTCCTGCCGTCCCTGGCATCGACACCTTTCCCTGCACCCCTCCCCTCACATGCTCTTTCTTCCCTGCTCTCATTCCATTTTCTTCATCTTCCTCCTCATCTCCTTGTGGCCACCTCTTCCCCCGGAACCCCTGTGAGGTCACCACCCCTCTGACCCCACTTCCCAGATCACGTGGCCTCGCAGTTCTCCCGGGCCTCTGAACACACTCAAGACAGAGTTCAGGCGTGGGGCCGGCTTGCATCCTTCCGCAGCTCCCCTGTGTCTTCCCAAATCTGCCTCCTCTCTCCTCTCCTGCACTGAGCCGTAAGTCCCCAAAGGTCCGCGCCTGACTGTGCGACACTGCACGGCTTAAGACCCAAACCCCGAGGCCAAACCCACAACAAGCGCTACCGGAGACCCCAGACCTCCGCAGAATGAACCACAAAGTGAAGGGATGAACGAGCCTGACTCCTGTGGCTTTTGCCATCAGAGCGGATGGTGTCAAGAGACCCAGTGAAGGATTTCTGATGTCCCCATCCTTAAAAATTACCAAGGGAGAAAGGGGCAGAAACAGAGATTGATCCTGCCAGCCAGTCTGAGGGGTTTCAGGGCATCGAGAGCAGGGTGGAATTTGTTAGATGTGAGTGCTCTGTAATTTTAGAGGCAAGAACAGAATGACGGGAAGGCTACATTTAGGTTGTAGAAGGTCTTTCTGGAAAAAAAAAACACACACACAGATTAAGTTTTCCTTTTTTTTTTTTTAATTAACAGTTTTTCTGTTTTCTCACATTTTCCCGTCTCTCCCCTATCACCCCACCTCTTGTTTATATTCTCACCCCACCTTTCATTTATATTCTCAACCCAGGGCTGGATGGCCCCCCAGACCTCGTCCCTACCCCAGGGCAGAAGGGGACAGCTCATCCTGACCCCAGCGAGACCTCCATGGACATAGGGCAAGCCAGGCGGCCTGAGGACCCCAGAGAGCTAGTGGCACCCAGGGTTCCTGAGTGTGAGGACAGATGTCAAGTGGGACTCAGCCCAGAGTGCAGCTCATCCCCCAGGAAGACGGCAGCGGCTCGGCATGACTTCAGCAACACTCCAGCAGCCCCAGAAGCCAGCTCGCCCAGGAAGGCAGCTGCCCACGGGGGAGGACCTGAGGCAGAGCGAGCATCTCCAGCTGGTACCGCCCTGTCTCGAGACCTCACATCCCAGGAGGAGAAACCGAGAGTTCCCGGTAACCACAGCAAGGCTCCACAGACAACAGCAGTCCTCGTACCCGAAAACTCCCGGGGCTCTGCTCTGCTCAAGGGAACAGACTCTGGGTCTGAGAGGGCCCCACAGGCCAGCCCCACCCTGCCGTCACCTGCTGACAAGGCTGACGGGGTGTGTGGCAGTGTCTCGGGCCACTGCTGCGCCAGGGAACGCGGGGGCAGTCCGGTGACCGACATCGACAAACTCATCCAGGAGCTGGATGCGTCAGAACCAAGACTCCGGTCTCCTCACAGAGGGGACCAGCTGACTCAAGAGGGACATTCTCAGGGCCAGCCTCCAGCAGGAGCTGGAAGCGGAGGTTCCCGCCCTGCCGAGCCAGTCCTGGGGAGCCAGACCCCCACCCCGAGGAGGACCTGGGCAGCTGCTGGCCAGCCCCCTCACCCACACTGGGCCTCCCAGCCTTCCGTTTTGGATTCCATTAATCCTGACAAACATTTTACTGTGAACAAAAACTTCCTGAGCAACTACTCTAGAAATTTCAGCAGTTTTCACGAAGACAGCATGTCCCTGTCAGGCCTCGGCGACAGCACAGAGCCATCCCTCTCATCCATGTATGGTGATGCAGAGGACTCGTCTTCTGACCCGGAATCACTCAGCGAAGCCCCACGAGCTTCCAGCGGGGGCAACTGGTCGCCTCCTCGTTCTCGCCGGTCTTCTCACAAGGAAAACACTACGGAGTCTGAGGAGGAGCAAATCGAGATTTGTTCTCCAGATGGTTCCCCCAACCCCCCCTCAGCTACTGCCCCCGCCCCCGCCCAGCCCGCACCCTGCCCGGTGCCGGCCAGAGTGCTGCCGCTGAAGCACAGCGCGCTCAGTCAGGTGGTGGGAAACCCGCGCGAGAGAGCGTCCTTTGTCCCTAGCACCTCCTGCCCTTCGATTCCAGACTCTTCGCAGCCGTTTTCTCTCTTGGATACAAGCTCTCGGGAGCATGAGCTTCATGCAGACCCAAGGCCGTCAGAGAACCCCAGGCTCTCATGTGAAGAAGAAACCCTGCAAGCACCCCGGGCGGGCTCCGCTGTGGAGAGCGGCCGGCCCCCTAAGGCCGCCGGGCATTTCCACAGCCTTCCGGTCACTCTCCGCAGTCTGAACGTGGCAAACGGTCTAGAACATGACCTGCTCGGTGACAAAACCCCCAATAAAAAGCAAGACACAAATGTCAATGCCACTGAAAATCCGTCCCCCTTCAGCGCGGACGTCCCTAAGAATGAACAATCCGTTTTGACGAGTCTGCACATCTCCGAAAGTCAGGGCGTGGATGACCCGCTCCAGAAACCAAAAATGATCTCCCGGAGGCCCATCATGGCCTGGTTTAAAGAAATAAACAAAAATAACCACAGCTCGGCCGCGCAGGGCAAAACGGAAAAGGAGCAGCCCGCGGTGCCCGCCAGGAGTCCTGACTCCAAAAGTCAGGGGTCGAGTTCCAGCCACAAAAAGGGGGTTGCTGGGCTTCAGAGCCCCCCACAGCTGAAAGTGAGCCTGGAAAATAAAGACCCACCTAAAAAAGGTTCCGTGGAAACACTGTTAAATAATGGTCAGAAACCCAAGTCCGGCCCTAAGCTGAAGAGACTGAGCATCAAAAGCAAGAGCAAGGTCACTTCCGAGGCCCCTGCGGCTCCTGCGGCCAAGGCCGGTGGGATGGACCCCAGGAAACCCCTCATTTCGCCCCAGACCTCCCACAGAGCGCTTCCCAAGGGAGCAGCCCCCCGGTTCCACACCGCCGAGCCCGAGGAGCCGGAGAAGAGCGCCACAGCAGCCCCCAGGCCTCCCCAGTGTGTGCTGGAGAGCAGGCCGCCTGCTGCCTCGGGGTCGCCGAAGCCCCCCGCGTCCGAGACGAGCATCCCAGCCTCCGTTTTGCCCCACACCTCCCCCAGGACCCTTCCTGAGCAAGGCGCATGCCGTAGATCGCAGGCGGCTTTCCACCCGGAGCCTGAAGGCCCTTACGCAGCCGCCCCCGGGTCTCCGCGGTGCAGCCCAGAGAGCAGGGCGCCCCCTGCAGCTTCGGGGAGCAGCGCGTCCCCAGCCGCCCGCGGGCAGGACGTTCCACCTCCAGGGCCAAGCGCGAGGCGCGGGTCCAGCCAGACGGATCCGGCACTGCAGGCAGCCCAACCAGAGGTGACTTGCGACAGAGGAAGCAAAATAGTTGCTGGCGATCCCCTAGAGAGAACCAACCAGCTGAAAATAGTGGAAATCTCTTGTGAGAGAATGCGAAAGAATGGCTGCAGTGACAAGCCCGCTGAGGGTGACAGACTAGGAGGGTTCTGGGCCCAGAGCAACTGTCAGGACAAGAGTGAAATCAGACCCTGTCACCAGTACCCGGAGCCGTCCCCACATCAGCCATCATCACTCCCATCTCGTGCCTCCCAGGTGGAGCCGGAAAGCCAGCGACCTTTCGGCGTGGCAAAACTGGCCTCTTCCTCCTCCTCCCCACAACTCCCTGCGAAAAAGGCCAATTCCTCCCAGGCGAAGGCAAGCCAGGCTTCAGGCTCCCTAGGGATGCCCAGGAATGGTGCAGCAGGGGGCGCAGCGCTAGATGACCATCCATACTTCACACCAAGGCCGGCGACCAGGACCTACTCCATGCCCGCCCAGTTTTCAAGCCACTTTGGCCGGGAGGGGCATGGCCTGCCCAGCCCAGGTCGCTCGCATCGGGACAGCCAGATCCTTGCAACAAGTGGGGGCCTCCCTGAGGCCAAGGCAACCAGAGGCAGTGTCCTTGGCCTGGCTAATGGACAGGGCGTATATAGCGTAAAGCCCCTTCTGGAGACATCGAGGAACCTTCCGACCACAGATGAAGGGGATGTCCTTTCAGTGCAAGAAAGGAGCTGTCTAGTCACAGACAAAATCAAAGTCACCAGAAGACATTACTACCCTGAGCAGAACTATGAATCTACCTCATTTTTCTCTGTGAAGCAGAGGATCAAGTCTTTTGAGAACCTGGCCAATTCGGACCGGCTGGTGGCCAAGTCTGGGGCGTCCCCCTTTTTGTCAGTAAGCTCCAAGCCTCCCATCGGGAGACGGTCATCTGGCAGCATTGTTTCGGGGGGCCTCAGCCACCCTGTTGACGTGACAGCAAGGTCACTGAGACGCAGCCTGAGTTCCTGCAGTGAAAGCCAAAGCGAAGCCAGCACCCTCATGCCCCAAATGAGCAAGTCCCCGTCCAGCACGACGCTGACAGTCTCCCGGCAGAACCCAGCAGAGGCTGGGAACAAGGGCCCCGACCCGGACCCAAAGAAATCTTCTGGAATTCCCACCCCCACTGTGACTCCAGCCTCTCCCAGCAAGAGGAACAAGTCCTCCGTGCGCCACACCCAGCCGTCGCCCCTGTCCCGCTCCAAGCTCCAGGAGCTGCGTGCCCTGAGCATGCCAGACCTGGACAAGCTCTGCAGCGAGGATTTCCCGGCAAGGCCCACTGCCGGGCTCTTCAAAACCGAGCTGGAAATCGTCCCCAGGAGGTCACTTGGCTCTCCCGCTGGAGGCCTCAGTGGATCCACCGCCCTTTCATGCCCCATGAAGCCAGGGGATGGGGCCTGTCCAGGAAGAAGCAGCCCTAAAGCCAGTGAGCCTGGGGGACCCAGTGCAGCCCATCATGTGGGTGAAACCACCCGGGATCTGCCTTCTGGAAAAGGCTGGTCAGTCAAGTAAGTATCTGCCTCTCCCCTTTTATTCAAATAAACGTTTTAAAAAGAAGTAGGAACTAGCTTTAGGTTTATGGGAAGTTGCAGAGAGAATGCAGAGAGCTCCTGTGAAGAACCCCTCACCCAGCGGCTCCCGACGTGAACATCTGACGTAATCATGGTTCAGTTGGCAAAAGGAGTTAACACTGGCAGAACACGATGAACTAAACTACAGACTTCATTCTGATTTCACCGAACAAATTTCACTAACACCCTTTTTCTCTTCCAGGATGCCACATTAGGTTTAGCCCCTTTGTTTCTAATGTCAATACTAGAACATACAGTGCCTGCAGAGAAAGTCTTTGCCAGATTGTAGCCCAGGAGAGGAGCCTGGAAGGGACTTGGCACCTACCACGCACCTTGGGGGAGAACCTGGGCCTTTGAAGGTGACCAGAGTTCAGCAGAAAATTTCTAACATATTTTAAAGAATATTTTTTAGTGTGTCAGAAATTTTCTTTTAAGCTCCAGGATTGGTTCCCTAACATTCTGGAGGGATCCCAGAAGCCATAGTCCTTCCCGGAGCTGTTGGCAGCGAATAAGTTCCTATTAGAGCTCTCAGGATTCCCCTTGGTTTGCATGGAGAGTTGTTAGGACCGAAAGAGAGCATGATTTGGTAGAAAGGAGAACTTTTGAAATATATCCTTATGAAATGGAAAAATCGCTTTTTTTCTTTAATGTTCTTCAAATATATTTATATTCTTTAGTTTGGATCAGCTTCTCATCTCAGCGGGGGACCAGCAAAGAGTGCAGTCCGTTCTGTCATCAGTGGGGTCCCCATCGACCGTCCTCACTCTCATTCAGGAAGCGAAAGCACAATCAGAGGTGAGCGAAACCGGACAAGTGGGGGCGAGGGAAGCAGCGGCCGCGCGCATGCGCACTCAGACTGGGCCCCAGAGCCCCGAGAGCCCTGGGACCTGCGGTGGGTCCCGTGCGGGGAGCGCTTCAGCGGGGTCTGACTGCGGTCTCACTCCGCGGCTCGCTCCTTGAGCTAGGTAGGCCTTGTGGAATCCAGGCGCAGCTGCTGGTGTGACTCCCCAGTAGTGACGAGCTGCCTTCCTCACCCCCCACGTCTGGAGTGTGTCCCCCGAGGGTCCTCAGAACGGAACTCGGAGCTTGGAGATGGGAGGGAAGGACCACAAGCGCATCTCTGGACCTCAACTACTTGTCAAGGGAGCCACCTGCTGGGGACGCGGGTTAGCGCGTCTGTGTAGCCCTGCCCGGGCCTGCAGCCCAGGAGCTTCTGAAGCCCGGGGTTCGAGACACGGTGGTCTTTACGGATGAGGTCCTTCAACAAACTGAAGCCATGGGTTCATATCTAGAATATGTCGCTGACTATGTCTCGACTAGTAAGTCCAAGAACACTGTTCCAGAGATTCTCATATTACCCAGGAGGGCTGTGCTGTTGGCATCTACTGAGGAGTGAACCAGGATGGGGAGGAGACCAGTGGCCCTTAGCTTATACTCCCTCTGGTCCTCAGCCCACTGGTTTGGGTCTGTGCGGTGAACCTCAAGACATCCAGCATTTTCACTTTTAGTAAAAGGGACTAGTCTGTCATCTCCCTTCTTCCTTCAACCTGTGACAATAAGCAAGCGTCGCCCTCCTGCAAGTCTTGTTCTGGCATCTCCAATCCAGGTGGCACAGTGGGATCACGGTTCACCGGGTCCCTTTTCCTCCAGACTAAATTACAGTGTTAGAGAAAATGGAGGAGAAAATCAAAAGGTCTCAACCAGCTCACAAACAGGATGCCATTTTCAGGGACCACAAACAAAAGGGGAGACTCTTTATGTGGACAGAATGCCAAGTGCCACCAGGAGGGGTGGGGGGCATCCTCTGGGGCCTCCCACCTCCCCTCTCACCTGGCTCTGGTTCCACACTTTGCACAAGACCATACTGTGGTTTGCTGTGCAAGGGCATTCCTGCCTGGATCAGAACGAGGCTTTAACCCTTATAATCCTGCAGTCTTCACTTGCTTTCACATGAGCAGAGATGGGCTCACGCCACCAACCCCAGAAGTTTCCTGCTTGCTTTTGTAGTGAGTGTGGTTTGTGGGGACGCTAAAAATGGAACTGTGCACAGTAATTCCCGTGGCTTCCTGATGGGGGCGCTGTGAGAGATGAGAGGCAGAAAAATCAGTTGGGCCCCTCTGACCCCAGCACACCTAAACCTTGGGGAGCTCTCAGTGCGTGTAGCTTCCCTGATGCTGTGCTGAGCTACTTAGAGATGAGATTTGGCCTGACACTCGTATCTTTAAACAGGAGGAGAAAATAAATTTGAGTAAATTAAAATTTTGGTGTTATGTCCTGGAATGCAAGAGAATTCCATTTTCAAATATTGTCTTTGCTCCCATAAAGGCATTTAAGTATCTGAGAAGTACTATTTTTGTATCAAGCATCACCTCCCAGAAGCTACACAGAAGTCATTGACCGGACCACATGCTCCCATTTTCACTGAGAAAGCCTGGTCCTCATTCCCTCCACTGAACAGGGTCTGACCGCGGAAACGGCTGGACTTCGCCGTCAGTCTGCGCGATATTCTAGAGTCGGCCTGTGGGGATTTGGGTTGAATGAACTTCTTTCGGGAGGTGTAAAATGCTTGGGGTTGCGCTTTAGCACACACTAATAGGACTGAACTCTTTTTCTTTTAAATACTGGGTTCCCTCCCTAGCACACTACAGAGATGGTTCTCTCTGTTCAGTGTTTTCACTCTTTCTCATCAAAGCAACGCTGAAGGGTTATTATTATTAGATTCTTTTCTCTTGCTGGGCTGGGAACACCTTGAACTGACAGACTGTATATCACTCCGTGGGGAACCTAGCAATGCGGGCCTTTAAGATGGTGCTCCATCAGATAGTGTGTGAGCGAAGTCACCATTCAGAATAATTAGCCCAACTCAGTTATCTGAAGTATTTTATTTCAAAATATCTTTTGTTTGGTGCTTGAAACATAGGACAGTCTTTTGCTACTTAACCCTAGGACACTACTAGGAATGTTCTAGTCTCGATAAGAGTTGACAGTTTTAAGGTAGTTTATATGTTTTAACATATTTTGTATTTTATGATAGTTCCTTACCTGCACCTGAAATCCAGTGAACTGAACATGACAGGACAGGGACATAAATCAGTGGCCTCAGTGTCTCTCATCCTGCCTCCTCTTGGCACTACTTCTCTCTGTTCTTGTTGACACTGGCTTGGCTCGACTGTAGACGTACACAGCTGTGCGATAAAGAATCCCCTTTGTTATCAGATGATGTGCTCTGCTCAGATTTGGGAAGGCATACTCTGGTGCCTGGAAGAGCTCCTAAATTGTCCACTGCCCCTTCCCCGTCCTGGTTCATGTCCACCCTGCGGGCCTGCAGCTACAGGGTGTCCCTCAAAACGCCTTCCTGTCAGCACCACCCAGGAGGGGTGCAGGACGCTTGAGACGAAGCTCTTCCCATTCCAGTGTTGTGCGAAAGCTCCCGAGTAACCACCGGGTTTGTGCTGAGCAGCTCGACGGCCCTGCACCAGGACTCACTCGCATCAGAGCTTCCTAACCCTTGGCGCGAGGGACAGACAGCCGACTCTTGAACAGCACAGGTCCACTTATGCACCAGATTTTTACAGAATTATAAATGCATTCTCCTATGATTTTCCTTTTTTTTTTTTTTAAGATTTTATTTGTATTTGCCAGAGAGAGAGATCAATCACAAGCAGGGGGAACAGCAAGCAGAGGGAGAAGCAGACTCCTCACTGAGCAGAGCCTGATGTGGGCTCGATCCCAGAACCCCAGGATGATGAGCTGAACCAAAGGCAGACGCTTAACCCACTGAGCCACCCAAGCGCCCCTTCCTTATGATTTTCTTAATCACCTTTTTCTCTAGCTTTATACAGCACAGATAACATGTATAACATGCATTAACCAGCTGCTTCTGTTCTGAGTAAGGTTTCCAGTCAACAGCAGGTTATTAGTGGTTAAGTTTTAGGGTCGGCATTCTCTGCAGATTTGATGGAGCGGAGGCCGGTGAGCCGCCCCCGGGTTATTCAGAGGCCAGCTGGACTCTTTTCTGTTTCTCTTTACTAGAATAAAGAAGATGTTTGCTTCATAGTCTTGAATAAAAAAGAAGGCTCAGGTCTGGGATTCACTGTGGCAGGAGGGACAGACGTGGAGCCAAAATCAATTGTGGTAAGTGACCACATCAAGATGCTCTCTGGGGGGTCACTCCTGATGCAGCCTCAGAGGTGACGAGGACAAAATCCTGTCCATGTGTTCTAAGAACGCTGGTGTTTGTTTCCTCCTAATAGAGCAAAAATGGAAAAGTAGGGGACAGACATTACTAGTCACTGGCAAAGATACACACATTTACCACAGAGTGACCTATTCGATGCCGATATATATAACCACAGTTTTCTGGAGTTTCCTCATATTTACCTGAACATTTTATTTAAGCACTGGAAAACACTAGAATTAACTGACCAGATCTGCATATGCTTCCGAAATTACTTCCTTCTCAAGAACCACCTCCAATTTTAGATCACTCGAAGGCCTCTGAGATTACCCGTGAGACCTGACCAAGTCCTGTTTGTTTTTGTGACCTTTCTGCCCCACGGAGCGCCACACACAGATTAGACGCTAGCGAGAAGTTGAGGGGAAAATGTATTCAGATGCCAGCACTGACATTTGTAATTCCATCCCTCACTGCATATAGGCTTTCAGTGAACGTTTGTAGGATTTTGCGAACTTGCCTGTAGAAAGTTCTCTACTACAGATTTGCATCGGCCCTCTTTTACTGAAGGTTCCAAATACTTTGGCTTTTGTCTTTCCTCGCTCCAGGTGCACAGGGTGTGTTCTCAGGGGGCTGCTTCTCAGGAAGGGACTGTGAACCGAGGGGATTTCCTTCTGTCCGTCAATGGCGCCTCACTGGCTGGCTTAGCCCATGGGGATGTCCTCAAGATTCTGCACCAAGCACAGCTGCACAGAGATGTCCTCGTGGTCATCAAGAAAGGGAACAGTCAGCCCAGACCCTCCAGTAGGCAGGAAGCCAACGGGAAGGGCTCGCTCTCCAGAAAGACGAGCACCCTAGAGCCCGGTTTAGGTAAGACACCAGCTCAACAGCTGGCAGGGAGTGGGCAGCCGGCAGAGTAGATCCTGGCTGGACAAAAAGGAACTTAACTACGGCTCTCGGGGTCCGCAAAATCAAATGGAGGGGCCCCTGGGTGGCTCAGTTAGTTAAGCATTGGACTCTTGATTTTGACTCAGGTCAAAAAAATCTCAGGGTTGTGAGATTGAGCCCTGCATCAGGCTCCACACTGGGCTTGGACCCTACTTGGGATTCTTTCTCTCCCTCTGTTCTTTCCACTGCCCCCCAAATCATCCCCCCCCCTCAAAAAAAGAAGAAATAAGAAATCAAATGTAGTAAAGTCTAATGTTTGTGGATGCTTCTTGAAAAAAGTGTTCCTAGTAAGTTAGAAACCACCGCCCCCTGTAGTGAAAGCCATACTGCTGAAGAGTTAACGACTGCTTGACAGTTTCTCCGCCTGTACGAAGAGGGAAGCCCTTTCACAGCTATATCCTCTTAGGACTTAAGTGGCCAGTAGGTAAAACACGAAACTCTTGTGATAAGGGGAATCATGGAGAGTATGCAGAAATTGCAGAACTACCGTTTGTCCTTGAAAACACCGGGGTTTATATTCTTTCCGGTTTTAGATAAGGAAATGAGGCAGCACAGATGTTTGAAAACAGAGACTCTAGCCTTAACCAACAGAGCTTATAAAGAGGTTCAGAAGTGGATTTCCTAAGCGCTGTCCATCCTGTCATCACAAGGCTCACTGGGAAGGCATACGAGCTATTTGCTCAGAACTAAGTACCACTTCTATTTCTGAAGCACTGGGCTGATTGCGGCCTTCAAGAGAACTACTTCAGACCTCTGTGGTGGTTTCTCTCTTGGAGTTCAGGAGCAATGTCTGCAGTCCCGAAAGCAAGAACCACCTGTGGAAGCTCAGGCTTCAGCTCCTCCTTCTGAGGAGGCCTTTGGTTTCTTCTCAACATCTCTCCCTAATAAAGTCAAGGGAAGCTGAATTCCTCTCTTCAACTTGGCCTCATGGTGGCCTGGGCCATCCATGATTGCTTTGCTGAAAACAGCACTCATTTCCGCCAAACGGGTGGGAAACTCTTCTTGTCCAGATGCCTCCACAGGCCTGGAGGATTCTCACCCTTCTCCTCTGTTGTCTTGCTTTTGCGCTGCTTGAAGACTGAAACCCTTCCCAGTATTGGGAAACACCTTAAGTCATCAGACCGTGTCATGCTCACCTTTGCCCCAGCGCTGTCTCCATTACTTCATGTGTTCTCAGTGGATCCGAGAAACTTAACATCACAGGAAACCACTTGGCGCTTAATCCCAGCAGCTTCCAGAATGTTTAAGACTCATGTACTCAGGATACAGAAGGCTATCCTGTTATTTATAATCATTAAGTATTCCTGGGATACCTTCAGAACATCTGGTCTTGAACCAGATTCTACAGAGTCACCAAATCGTAAGCACTTTCGGGGCTTAAACTTTATTTTTTCATATTCCTATTCCTTAAAATTCCCCTGCCCAGGGCTCCACCTGAACCCAAGGAACTATCCTTTCACATGCCCTGAGAGTATCCCACTTGGAGATGGAGGCAGGAGGTCGCACAGGGCCATCCTCCTGCCCAGCAAATTCACCGGCTCAATGAAATCAGAAACCCTGAGGGGTGAGGGCGGGGGCCAGGGTCCTGAGTCACTAGCTTTCTAAGGTTCCTAGGGGATTTCAATAGAACCCGGCCAGAGCTGAGAGCTACTGTAATAGGCCTGTTCTGTTTAACAGCAAGCGATTCACCTACTGAAAACCATGCTGCTCCTGTCCGCACATTGCCTTCAGACCCCGCAGAACATGGAGTGACCTTCTCTAAGCCACACTAATGGACTGACCTTTCTGTTCAAAGGCAGGGATGCTGGCTATCTTGGCCTCAAGCCCAAGGGGGCAGTTCAATCTGTGGTCCCTCCCCTGCCTCCCAGAGAGCTCGGCATGCCTTTCCACTCACCTCTTCAAATCCTTCACCAGCGCAGTGTGTAAGGAAGAGGAGTAAGAGGCAAGCTCACCATCGCTACTCAGATCTCAGGATGGATCCCAGCCAGGCCTCTCCAAACCAGCACACAAGCGGGGGCACACTATGGTTGCAGTGGAGGACCCACTGCCATGGAAACGTGCCTCCCACACTCCGCACGCTGCCATGGAGAGGGGCGAGGGCAGCTGGTGCATGATAAGCATGCACGGCCGAAGGGGGAAGGTGCGGAGCTCTGGGGTCCACAGTCAGTCTCCTGCGAGGGTGTTGCAGGCTATCAGTCCCGGCCTGTGACACACGGCAGGAGATCGGATCTGATTCCCCAAGTGTGGCTTCACCGAGACACACCACCACAGCGCAGTCTGGCCTTTGAGGGTTTCTCCTTGGGCACCAGAGCCACCTCCATGCTTCCAGAAAGTGCTGAGGGGAGCCTGCATGGCTCAGTCCGTGGAGCGTCCGGCTCTTGATTTCGTCTCAGGTCGTGATCCTGGGGTCCTGGAATCGAGCCCCACGTGGGGCTCTGCACGCAGCGGGGAGTCTGCATCTCTCCCTCTCTCCCTGGCCCTCCCCCTGCTCACGTGCACGTGTTCTTTCAAATAAATACATAAATCTTTAAAAAAAAAATGCCTTGAAGAGCAAATGGTGCAGGTACAGCAGGAACACAGCCGCGAGGTCAGCTCCAAATCTGAGAGACCCATCCTCACGCTGGTTTCAGAGATAGATGGGACTCGGGTGCTAGGGTAAGACACTTGGGGGACGGGAGAGGAGGTGATGAGTGTCCTTGTCATTTCCATCCTTCCAAATGTCGTTGCTGCAGGGAGAAGCCTTCCTTCACACGATGCACTGTGTGTCGAAGTGCTGAAGACCTCCGCTGGGCTGGGATTGAGTCTGGACGGAGGGAAATCCTCAACGGCGGGAGACGGGCCCCTATTCATTAAGAGAGTATACAAAGGTAATGCCCTGGAAAAGCCAGTCGGCTCTCTCCTGTGTGCCTGTGCCTTCCATTTAGAAAACGTTTGCATTCTGTCACATACGGGGTGTACTGTATGTCAACCCTGTTGTATTTTACGTGTTTGAACTCCTGTTGCCCCCCCGCCCCAACAATCCTATCAGATAGGTACGATGATCCCTGTTTCACAAAAGACGGTGTATGCCACGGGGGAGTTACACAAGCACCGAAGGTCACACGGACAGAAGGGGCAGAACGAGGCTTGGACCTAGGCAGTCTGGCGTCAGGGTCAGCATCCCTAACCTCTACACCAGAGCCCAAACTCCGTGTTCGTAACTAGTATTAGCTGGGACTGATGTAAACATACCAAGCCAGCGCCATCAAGAATTGCCTGTCAGGGGGCTGCCTGGGTGGCTCAGTGGGTTAAAGCCTCTGCCTTCAGCTCAGGTCATGATCCCAGGGTCCTGGGATCAAGCCCCGCATCAGGCTCTCTGTTCAGCAGGGAGCCTGCTTCCTCCTCTCTCTCTGCCTGCCTCTCTGCCTACTGTGATCTGTGTCTGTTAAATAAATAAATAAAACCTTTAAAAAAAAAAAAAAAAAGAATTGCCTGTCAGGGTAATTACCATGGACCGAGATAGTATTTGTTTCGAATACTAGACTTCAACTACAGGACTTCAGGAAAGGATGCTGAGAGCAGTAAAGATGATTGAAACATGTGGTAGATAAGAGGTCTCTTTATGAACTTGATCAGTCATTTTATGATCTTGGACAGTTCTCACAAATCTCTTCAGGTTTTCAAGCTAAACAATTATATTAAAAGTATAATTATCCTGGGGATGCCTAGGTGGCTCAGCTGGTTAAGCAGTTGACTCTTGATTTCGGCTCAGTTCCTAACATCAGGGTCGTGAGATGGAGCCCCCTGTGGGGTTCCACGCTCAGCAGGGAGTCAGCTTGCAAATTCTCTCTCCCCCTCTGCCACTCACCCCCCAACTCTCACACGTGCTCGTTCTAAACAATTTTCTAAAAAGTATTATTATACTAATACCAGTACATAGAAAAATCTACTGTATGTCATATTCTATGTAATGTCATAGTATTAAGAGTATCCATATGTGGTATATGTAGCACACCCACAAGCTTGTCGTACAGACAGCGGTGACGGGGAAGTACGTAGGGCCGTGTAAGTATTCTCCACAGGCACTGGGGGGCCATCACAGTATACCGGATAGAGGCGGAACCTGTTTTCCTGTGTCAACTGGCCGTCTGGATTTTGATTATATATGTTGAAATTTGCCTCCTCCTAGTCCATAGTGTATGTATTTGAGGGAATTTGAATATTTTTACGTAGCTAAATTTCTTTTCATGGGTATACGCTCTGTGTGTTTTAAGGACTGTTTCCCTTTCCTAAGAATTATGGGCGTGTCGTTCAGAGATTTTTCTCATTTGAGTTTTTAGCTCGCCCAGAATTTATCTGAAATCCTGCGAGGTTGCCCCGGCATTGCTGTCTGTTTATTCTCACAGGTGGAGCAGCCGAACAAGCGGGAACAATCGAAGCCGGAGATGAAATTCTTGCCATTAACGGGAAACCCCTGGTAGGGCTCATGCACTTTGATGCCTGGACTATTATGAAGTCAGTCCCGGAGGGACCCGTGCAGTTGCTGATTCGGAAGCACAGGAATTCTTCCTGAAACAGGCACCAGGAGTGACGCTCACGAGTGGGGCTTGTTACATTTTTTAACAAGAATCTCCTTTTCTCAGTTCCCTTACTTTAGCAAATCAGAACAACTTCTTTCAACACTGGGTTCCTAAAACAGCACAGGAACCTTGGTATAGGCAAGGACTACAGAAATCTCCAGGTTTTTACTTCTTTGTGGAGCTGACCTCTTGTGTGTGTGACAGCAATGGCACTGACCTCTGGAAGCCTTCTACCCAGACGACCGAGGCCAGGAGGGATCCTTTTGTTCCGGTGCCTCTTCCCTCCCTTTTTGTGTTTATTGATGGGGACACAAGATGTGGCATGCCCTTCTTCATTCAAAACATTTACTTAAGACCTTCGCGTCCTTCCTGCCTCCTCGCTCAGCAGACCTAATCCTGGCAGTGAGGGAGCCAACCAAGTCTGAGGGGCGACGCGAATGTCACAAATAAAGGACTACAGTTTTTATAATTTTGTAAGTAAGAGAATGCTTTTAGGCACATTCAGAGGAAGGAGCTGTAGGTCTGTACATTATGGTGAAAAGAAAGTGAGACTTAAAAGAAAAAAATCAGTTCTGACCTAACAGTTAAGCTGAGCTCAGGAATTATCCAAAAATGAAAAAGCAAAATCTGGAAAGTGGTATTTTTTTAGTGAGTGTCCTGTGCACTGTGTGGCTGCAGGGTTCACTCTCTGGGTTACTGATCATCATGAAGTGTTGATCGTGATCTGAAAGTGTAAGTCGTAAGGCTATTTTACAGAAACGCTGTTCTGATAAACCGTACTAACCAGCCACGAACTCTGCTGCTTAGAACGAGCAGCGGGTTCCAGCTCTGAAAGCACCTTGCACATGGTTCGGAACTTGTCTTGAGTAAGTGCTTGAATTCAAGACCAGTCAACACAGGAGTGGGCAGAAATACTATAGTCACTGGGTTTCCATTTCTATATTTCATGCACTCCCAACACTGAGCTAAATTTTTAGTAATCTTTTTAGCATCCTTGGATCTATAAACATAGGCATTACATTTACAATCCAAAGGGCGGAGCTTAAAAATCATCCTTTTGGGACTTTGGTTGGTTGGTTTTCCCCCTGGCCAACAAGATTAAGAAATGGCCCCTTTCTAAGCACCGGCCCACCTTCCTGACCTGGGTGTGACGATGCCCCTGCAGGGACCGCTTGCTGCTGGTGTTTTCCTGTTTTGCAAATTCTTCCTTTGGCCCAAACTGTTCCCTGCAGAAGACTGGCGTGACGCACACTGCCCGTGAAGCTGGTCCCGGCTGCTCTCCTGTCAAAGCATGACTTCTCCCCGTAGCCGCTCCCAGTCAGTGTGCTCTTGCTCCCGGTCCCAAAACTGGCTCCTCTCCTTTGTACTGCACCTTCTTTTCTTAAATTCCAAACCTCCGTCAGCTTCACTTACCAAAATGTAAAAAGAAGACAACGGGGAATGCGGGTGAGTCACTCTTTCAAGGTAAAGAAACAGAACTGTGTTGCACAACCCCAACCCGAGAGGGACCCAGACCAGCTGCTCCAGTCCTGGGAGTACGGGTGAGGACGCCAAAGCTGCGTGCGGGACGACGCCCAGGTTTTGTGCTGGACGCTTCCTTCAGTAACCTGCAGCCTGGATCTGTGGCCTAGAGAACAGAAGTGAGGTCACTGTACACCCGCCCCTGCCCCCATCATGGAGATGCTCGCGCTGTCACCTTTGTACATCGTTTTCCGAGGGACTCCTCCCTTACCATAAAACCTCTGCCGAGTTGGCCCACAGGGGTCTCTCGGATGAGAATGAAGTATCTGGCTGGTGTGAGCCCAGACTTCTCATTTTTTTTAAACAGGTTATACAGAAGAGAATGTAGTACAAGAGTTAGCTAGAAAGACATGACTCATGTAACTTCTACTTTTCACTACACTTCCTGGTAGGATTCTGTAGGCAGTCAGTGCAAGGTGCATGCTAGATTGTTTTTAAGTCTCTGGGGTCAGTGGTGTGGTTTCTGCTTTCTTGCCTAAATGGTAAGAATATTTGCCTCCACTCTTCCAGCTGTGCCTCCTAGTAAGAAATTCACAGTCCCATGTGAACAGACCGGAATTTCTAGAGCAGTTCAGCGCAATGGAACAGTCTCCTTCCGAGTCTCTGATCATCTTATCTGAAAAGTACAAGGGTAGACCTTTCACTCACTGAAGTAGGCTAAAGTCATCACTTCTAGTATATCTTGCCAGAAGGGTTTCCCTGGCCAGTTGGAACTTAAGGGAGAAAGCAAAAGGCTAAACTATCTCTGACCCTCAGATCGAAAGCTACTTATTTGTCTTCAGTGTTCAAGGCATGACTAGTATTTCTAATGAGTCTAATCCCCACACTTCCTGAAGTAAGCACTAATGGTATTCTATTATCCTACTAAAACTTTCATTGTTTCAGTTTTCTAATGCATCAGTCATCCACAATAAGCTATGAGGGTAAATACGTGTTGTAACAAGTAAACTGTAGTTGCAAGGATAATCTGTGAAGATTGAAATAAGTTGGATTGCATTTCTGTCCTCCGAAACACATCTCATTTAATTTTATGGTTGACTTAATTGGCACCACACCTGTTGTATGATATTCTACATTATCCTTTATTTATGTAAAATAAAATGCCTTATATATTATGGAAGAGTAAGTGCAATAATATGAAATAGCCTGTACATTTTTAAAATGTTGTCGCCAAGTTATGTAAATCCACATCTCTGTAAACAACCTTTTTTAAGTAATTTTAAAAAAATAAACACTCTGCTTACTACTTTTTTTTTTAATTCTGCCATCTATAAAGTAACCTTGTAAAATCTTGAGAAGTGTTTATTATTACCTTAATTATTACATCAATGAGTGAGCGGTCCAAATGCAACAGAAAATCAACAGTTCTTTTTTTTTTTTTTTTTTAAGATTTTATTTATTTATTTGACAGACAGAGATCACAAGCAGGCAGAAAGGCAGGCAGAGAGAGAGGAAGGGAAGCAGGCTCCCCGCTGAGCAGAGAGCCCGATGTGGGGCTCGATCCCAG